TCACTGTCCTGTCGCAAATTGTGCTGGCCTGGAAACGAGGAGCGGGCCTGCGTGCCGGCGCCGCATTTTGGACGTTTGAAAGCTGTAGGGGCATGAGGAGCTCCTGAATGAGCGTGCTGGGCGGTCGCTTTGCGTAGGTAGATGAGTTGCATTGCTGGCATGCCGCCCATTTTGCGTTGATTTGGAGTGTGCTGTAGACTGCGGGCACGCCCCCCGGTTGTCCGCCTCGGACGCGGTGGAGAGCCCACCACGGACACTCGCTTCGCCGCAGTGCTCCACAGCCCGCGCACCTCCCGCCCAGGCAGAGCCAGCCGGGAGTGAATGGTCCGTCGATCGGAGGTGAGTCCCCGCTCCCATCAGTGTTGCCCCTTGGATGCTGCCGTTTCGGGCCGGTGCCCGCCTGTACAAGGCCGCGTTGTGTGTGGCCACAACCCTGCCCTCGCACCGAGCCTCCCGTGGCGTGAACATGCAGCGATCCAGTGCCATTTGGTGTGAGCGCGGCCTTCCAGAGGGCGCTGCGAGCGCATTCCCCCTGCCATGCCCGGTGTTTGGCGCAGGCAGCGGGCAGCACGCGTGGTGTTTCTTGGGAACCCCGGCAGGCAGGCAGGCAGGCAGCGCAGTGCACCGCCGTGCAATGCGCTGCAATGCACTGCAATGCCGCCAAGCCATGCGGCACAGGACTACCCGTGGGTCGGCTCGCCCCACGCGGCGTTGGCGATGGGCATTGCTGTGCTTGACGCCAGGCGGCCGGATGCGCAAATGGCTGCTGCGGATTGCTGGCCCCCACAAAGTAATGGCCGCCAAAAGTCGCAAACTGCGCTGCGCAACTGTGCGTCTTGGGGGGGTGCACACGTTGCTTTCCTCGGAGTGGCGGGGCTTGGCTTGGCGCTCGAAGGGAAGACGAACGGACGTTGTGTGGATGCCGGCCGTCGCCGCGCGCAGGGTCCCTAAGGCCTGGTCGCGTGACGCAGGGCGCAGGCGGAAAGTGGGCCGGAAGTGGCGTACGGCGGGATACGCGACATCGTACCTCCATGGGCATACGGTGGCGCCGGCGCGCTCTTGGAATGGATGCCGCGCCCGCCACCCACGGGCCCCGTCGTGGCCTGCGGGCGTTTGGCAGCCACGCTTCCCCGGGGGAGTCCGCGCCGTGGAGCAACCGCGCTGGCACCTTCGAGGCGGGCCGCCGCCGCCGCCAAGTGTGCTGCGAGCATGGGCGCCCCGGGGACGCGAGGTTGTGGCGCGCCCGGCGGGCCAACGCCGCTTGTTTGGGGGGATGCCCCGGGGACTGCGGCTGGCCTGGGCGTTCCCCCGGCGCTGGCGAGCTTTGTGTGAGGGAGGTGAGGAGCGCTGCGCGCGGGCTTGGTGTCCCACGGCCCTGAGAAGGTGTCCCGTTGTGGATGGTGCCGCCAAGCTGAGGCATCGGCATCGCCGGGATCTGCGCGCCCCTTGCACCCGTCCACTGGGCGGAGCGAGGCCCTTGCGCCCCCCGCCGGGCACTTTACGCCTCGGCGGCATCTTCTGTCTGCGTGAACATGGAGGCAATGCCGGGGGCCAGCCTGCGAGCAGGGACAGACGGATGGCGTGTTTCGCGGGCGGCTGGCTGGGCTCCGGGCGGGCTGTGGCGACTTTCCGCGCGTTCCCCGCGCTTGCGGCGCGTCTAGGGCCGAGCTCATGCGGCGCTCGGTCTGCCCGGCGTGCTCCCACCCTGGCTTCCTGGCTTTGCCAAGTGCGAACGACCTGCCAAACGAGCTCTGGCAAGCGAACCAAGTGAAGCACGCGCTGCAGGAGGAGTTGATTTGTTGACGAGGACGGCTGGCCCCTGCCACTGCTGCTGACCAACAACCGTTTGGCTGCGCGAAAGGGCGCGCCTGCGCATCCAGCCTCCAACAACGGGAGTGTTCTTCCTCCCCCTCCGCTCCCAGGGGAGTGTCGTGTCACGTTTTGTTGGCCCCGCGCTCTTGCCCCGCAACCCTGTGCACAAGTGGCGCAACAGAACGGCACAGCCCCTTTCTGTGGCGCTGCAAGTGGACCTGTCCGTTGGTGGGAGCAGTGGATGGGTTGCAGTTGCACAGTGCCTGTCCAATTGCCTTGTGTGGTGGTGCGCTTTTGGCCTAGCAACTGGCTACATGACACTGACTGCGGAAGTGACCGCCTGTGGTTGGGTGCCTGTGGCAGTACATGCTGGCAAACCTCAACGAGCGCTGGCGGGATAGCCGGAACTCGGATGCCGCACCCTGAAGCCCTGCCAGGTGAGTGCGCACAAGTATTGATCTCGTTGCTACTGCCTGTAACTTGTGGTGCCCAGTCCGCTGGTGGCTGTGTGGGCGCTGTTGAGCATCGTGTTCAGAGCGTCGCATGCAAGCACGCGCAGGCCGGCAACGCATGGGCTTCCAGTTCGGGGGCCCTGTGCGGCGGGAGGTAATGCTGGGCCGGGGCCAGCTCCAATGAGAGCGTGTGGTAACTTGTTTGATGGAAAGCAGACTGCGTTTCTCTCTGCCAACGGCCGCGGTCAAGCGCCAGCGGGTGGCGAGGGTGTAGTGGAACGATCGTGGAGTCGCTGGCGGCCAGTAGCTCTTCTCTGGAAACGCCCACCCGCCAAGAGCAGGCAGCTCCTCCGTGCGCATGCGATGCAAAGTGGGACAGTGGCGCGGGAGCAGCAATGTTTGCCAGGGCCCCGAACAGGCCGTGGGCGTGGTTGCGATGCGCGAGCGATGATGGCATGATACACAGTGCAAGGGCCCTCAGGAGTGCGTGTTTAAAAACACGGAGGGCAGCCCCATCCCACAACAGAAAAGGTGTCCCCAGCGTCCCAGTGGTGTCCCAAGCCCTGCCTCAAAAGCATTCCACACGAGCGCCCGGCGCAGCAGGGTGCTGCTGCGCTTCATCCCGGCCGTGTGCAGCCGCAGAACCGAGTCAGGTGGTCACCCTGTCGCCACATTGAGCCCTCCCTGTGAGTGCCCAGGCACACGCGCTGCAGCGAACCTCCAGGGCTCCCCGGCGGGCTCGCGTGCCCAGCCGGGGTCGCTGGCAGCTGCGCGGCTGGGCGCTCGAGCTAATGGGCTTCGAGGGGCCCACAGGCCGGTCTGCAGGGCTGCGAGTGCAGCTGATCCGGCAGTGGGCAGTGTGGAAGTGGTGAAGGTGTCGAGCAGTTCGAGGCCTTGAGGTGCGCTCTGCGCCTGTGCCTGTCCACACCATGCGGCGGTGGAGGCTGCCTCAGCTGCCATGTCCGCCCTTCTGGCAGCCATATTCAATGGCATCGCCGGCAGCCGCGCTTCAGCCGGGCTTGAGAGGCCATGTGCAGCCACGGAACCGAGACAAGTGGTCACCCCGACGCCACAGTTAGCCCTCCCTGTGAGTGCCCAGGCACACGCGCTGCAGCGAACCTCCAGGGCTCCCCGGCGGGCTCGCGTGCCCAGCCGGGGTCGCTGGCAGCTGCGCGGCTGGGCACTCGAGCTAACGGGCTTCGAGGGGCCCACAGGCCGGTCTGCAGGGCTGCGGCGAATCAGGCGGCCGTCATGGCGTAGGCGGCGTCGAACTGCGTGATGAAGGTGATGAGAAGTGTGAGGGCTTGGGGGGCGCGGTGCGGCTGCCTCTCTCCAAACCATGCGGCAACGGAGGCCACTTCAGCCTCCACATCCGCCCTTCTGGCTGCCAGGTCGCCCCGCGCTCCCTCCGTGCTGGCCAGGAAGCCGTGCAGCCGCGCCCCAAATGCGTCCTCCCCCCCCCGGGCTGCGCTTGTGCCCGCCGCGCCCGGCCATCCCCCCCCCTCCTGGCCCCCCACCCAGGCCCTCCCACAGATGGCCGCGTACTCGGCCATGGCCTTCTTCAGGCCGACCGCGGCGTCCTCCTCCAGCTCTTGGAGGCCTCCGGAGAGGAGAGGGGCGGCCGCGGGGAGGCTGGGCGTCTGGCCACCCAAGAAGCCCCCTGCCCCTTGGTGGGCTGCCCCTGGCAGGCCCCTCACCACGCGTGCCAGGAAGTCCAAGAGTGTCCTGGCCTGGGTGCTGGCCTGGGGGGCGCCGGCGAGGGGCCCGCGTGCTGGCTGGGCAGGCGGGGAGGACGACGGCGCCGAGCTGCCTGTGACCTTGAAGCTTGTGAAGGCAGCCAGCGACTCCAGCGTGATGGCCCTGGCGCTGCCCTTGGGAGATCCATCGTTGACTGCATTGCCCACCTGGTTGGCAAAAGGCGAGCGTCCCGGGTCAGAGATGGCTGTGCGATTTGTAAGCGGACCTGCAAGTTGGTGTGTGAGCTGATTTGTGACCAAACTGACTTGTGTGCAAACAGAGTGCGGACACGTGGGCTGCCGTGAGTGTGTGGCTGGATCCGCGCGTCGTCTGACTCATGTGTGCTGCGCTTGGGAAGGCTAGAATATTCTGGAATCGCAACATTGCCCGCGCTGCAAGATCGCTTTCCAGCAGTTCGCGCAAGCGCATCTGGCGGAGCAGCCTCACAGAATGCTTCACTTGGCGCGGGAAGCAAGTTGGCATGTTGTTGATGCAAGCAATAGCTCGCCGGCAATGCTTGAAGCACAGCCACGCGTGCGTCTAGTTTCGTTAGAGACACGAATCGTGCGTGCCAGTGTCCACGTCGTCGGCAGCGGAGACCGCGGTGCTCGGTCAATCATGGCGACGGCAAGCCCGCCCGTGGGTCCTTGTGTGGTGGGCACTTGTTGGATTTCGCTCAGTCGTGCGATGCATTGGGAAGCTAGGTTGCTCAAGAGTTGCCAGCGGCCATGGGGCGCTGCGTGCAGTGCATCCCCGAAAAGAGACTACACAGATGAACAGGAGCCAACGAAGAGCTGAATTAATTAGTTAGTAGAATGGGTGGAGAAAGCAGGCATGGGGGCAGCTGCGCAGCCAAGCACAGGCGGGGCTAGAAAGTGTGGCTGCTGTGCCCCCGTCCAGGGTATCGCCTTGGATGAAATGGCGGCCGCGGTGTCCATGGGCGGGCAGGGGGCATGGCAGGTCTGTGAGCGGGTGGTGTTGCGCGAAAGGGGCACTCACGGTCAGGGCGCATGAGAGGACGCTCTGGAGGCGGGAGCTCCGACGAAGCTCCTGGCAGGCGGCCTGGACGGTGTCCAGCGCCTGCACGCTCTCGTTGCGGAGCTCCTCCCATTTCATGATGAACAGCGCCACGCGGCACTTGGCCTTCAACCTGGGCACTTGGTTCATCTGCAGCAGCACTCGCTCGGCCGCCGTCAGATCCTGCGGCGCGCCCCCAAAGTCCTTGAAGTCCTTTCTTTCCCCCTTCTTCGGGGCTATCTGCATCACAGCGCAGCTCAGCGCTCAAATCGGAGGCCAAGCTAGTGGCCTTTGAGTGCATCGCGCCGGGTTGTTTCCCCAATATGTCCACCCTCCCAGGCAATGGCACCAACATCGACACTCCAGCCATGCCTCCGCGCACGCAGGAAAATGTTTATCAGCTGTCATCAATGGCAGGCGACCTGCGGTGATGAGCCTCCATGCGCATTCTATGTGAGTGTTCAAGTGGGCGTTGGTGGGCAAATTCAGTAGGCATGTCAGCGAGTGTATTAGTAACGTATTTTGGCATGTGCGTCAGTGAATATGTGCCCGTGGTGAATATGTTGTGCGTTGCAGCGCCTTGCAGCCCAGGGCACGGCGGTGAGGTGCGGCTGCGTTTCGCCGCCACCAAGGCAGAGGGCGGCGTGGCATCACTCGTGGAAGCTCGGACTGTGTTTGGAGAGCGGCTAGTGGAAGCCCTGCCCTCCAGTTCACCTGTCGAATGAGGCCCATTTCCTCCCACGTTAGCCCCTGGAAGCTGAGAACGGCGTGCATCATGCCCCCCACGCCCCCGGGGAAGGCTTTGAAGCGCGTCATCATGATGGACACGTTGTTGGCCCGCCTGATGTCAATCATAGTTGGGCGGCCCTCGGGGCCGCCAGCCACGGGGGCGGGCTTGGACTTGGAGGAGGACGCCCCAGCCCAGGCCGGGTTCCTGAAGAGGGACTCCAACATCTCGGCCATCTGGGGCACGAGGGCGGGGGCTGCGGGGAGGCTGCACCACACGGTGCCCGTGCGCCGGCTGAGCTTGCTCCAGTGGAACGTCCGAAGTTTGCGGACCTCAGCATCCTGCGGCACGTCATTGGTGGGGCGTCAACGGGTGCCGTGCGGGCGAGTGTGCGGGACTGGCGAGCCTCGCTCTGGTCGCGTGCAGGGTGCAGATTCGGGAGCCCAAATGAGCGCGATGGCGCACAAAAGGAGGGGCCATGAATCCACGCGCGGTGCCTCTTGCATGCAGCCGAGCGTCCCCCAACTGGGAGCCTGTCATGCGCTGTGGGGCTGGGTGTGCTTTTTCAACATAATGTGGAGCCTGGCTGTCCACGGCGCTGCCCATGGTCGTAATGCCAGCGCGCGCCGCGTGAACGCCCAATGGTGACTCGACCTGGCAATGCAGGCCGGACTTCCGAGCGATGGTTTGTGTGATGTAAGCTGTCAGAACATGCCGCTGTGGTGGTGATTGTGTCCAAATGGCAGCGAAAGCCGTGCCCTGCGTTCAGCTGCCCTGATTGTCGTGGTGGGTAATCGAAAGCTGCGCCCCTGGTCCGTTGCACCATGTATGAGGCAAATCCCGTGCACAATTGAGGCTGCGTGCTCGCGGCGCTGGCATCCAAATCGGCTGGCTGGCTGGCTGGCTGGCCCACCTCGCCTGGCTTCTCGGTTTTGGGGGGCGGTGGTGGCGGTGCGGGTGGTGCCGCGGGCGGTCCCCTGACGACGGCCTTCGCCCGTTGCTCTCCCTCCGCCTCCGACGTCGTGCCTGCGCTGCAGGGGGCCTCTTGCGCCTCTGGCGCCGCTGTCTCCTCGGACACCGCGTCCGCGGGAGGAGAGGCATCTACAACAAAGGCAAGGCGCGCTGCACTTGGAATCTGAGTGACGGCACAGACCTGTTGCGGCGGTCGGTGAGGTTGGTGTGTCGGGGCGCTGGAGTGCGGCGGGAGTTTTTTGACCATCTGACGCGTTGGGCAGCTCCCCTAGAGCGCACAGTCCGTCCGGGGACGTGGCAACGCAGCCACAGAAGAGCGGAACGGCGGCGGCCGTCGGCAAATCAGCAGCTACGCGTGTGATCCTGCCGACTCTCCCCTGGCAGCGTGTACGACTGCGGGCGTCTCCAAGCTTGAACGAGGACGAACGCTTTCTCATTCCGACAGATTGTTCCCGCCCAGTATTTGAGCTTGCACTTCGGAGCATTTCGATTTTTTTTCGACCCACTTCTCAACTCGGACAGACTTTGGGCAGCGGCATTTTGGCAGGGATGCCAGAGCGGCGGGAAAATGGGCACAGAATTCGGCTGACGTTCGGGGGCGCACCCTGCTGGCCTCCCCGTGCCCTCCTCCGCCGACCGAGGGCCCACCGCGCGGCGGAGCCCCCAACCACGGCCAGCAGGCCGAGTGCAATCCACAGGGGGTCGCCCCCCCGCGCCTGTGGCGCCTCCCACTCTCGCCGTCGCCCATGCCTGCCCGCAGAGTAGAAAACAATTCAATAATTCTGGAAATGCGCCATGGGACAGTTGGCCCTGACGCCTGCGGCGGGATTGAGCCTCGCGCCCAGACGTCCGGGCTGGTGGGAGCGGCCGGAAGGGCGGCTGCGCCGACGTGCTGGAGGCCCCGGGAGAGCAATTCCCGGGAGTGGGCGGCCCCCCAAAAGCCGTCGGGAAATTCCTCCTCCTGGGAGGAGGGGGAGAGCGCCAGGGGCGACGGCCAGCGGCAACCGGCGCCGGCGCCCGAACTCGGCCACAAAAACGCGCGTGAGGGCGACCAAAAATTTTTGAGAGCGCCGGCCGCGTCTCCCCTACCGCCGCTGGGGCGCTCTTCGCCGCGGGCGTCCTCCTGCTCAGCTGCCGCTACAGAAACGCGTGCCTCTCCTCCGCAGCCGGCTGGCAGGCAGGCGCCGAATGCCGCCACTCCTCGCTCCGTCGCACGAGTGTGGATTCCTGGTCGTCGCCCCGAGGATGGCGAAGACGAGAGACGAGCGGCGGGCGGACGGAAGTGGGCGGGAGCTGGGCGCTGTGCGGAATGACGTCTCCCGCCACTGGGGCGGCGCTTATGAATATGCTTGCTTTTTTAATCCCAACCCACCCCTCCCCACGCCGCCGGTTTGGGGCTTCATTGTGAGCATTTGTGACGGGCCCAATTGCGCGCACGCCGTTGTGCCACAGCGGATGAACGTGGGCGCTGGAGGCGCCGCCCAGAGCCCCGTTGGGGTTGTCCACTGGCCGTCAGCGGCGGCTCACCGGCATGGTGCACGAAAGACCCGCCCACAGTGCCACCAGTGGGCGGTGCGCAGGAGCACAACTTTGTAGCTATGTATTTAGTCCATGCAGCGCAAGGAGCCGCGGCGGCAAATCAATACGCCGCTGATGCCACAACTTGTCGGAACTTGTGGTCCGAGAGACCTCTTTTCAGAGGCTGCTGCTGAAATTCCACCCAGCAATGGGGCGTCCGGAAAAATGGCCATTTCGTCAAGTTGGCTCGCACCAGCGGCGCATTCAAGCCTTGAAATGCTTCTCGGAAGGTGTCTGAAGGGCGTCTGCGCCCTCCTGAAACGCGGTGAGTGCTGTCCTTGGGCGCGGAAGGCGTGGCGTTGGAGGAGGTCTAGTAGAAGCCATGCTAAAGTAGGCAGAAGTGAAGCAATACTGCCCGGAGCTTGTCCAGGTCAGAGTGCGTGTGCCCGCCGTGTGTCACGAAGTGTGTGTCACGAAGCGGAGTGCGTTCCTCACTGTCCTGTCGCAAATTGTGCTGGCCTGGAAACGAGGAGCGGGCCTGCGTGCCGGCGCCGCATTTTGGACGTTTGAAAGCTGTAGGGGCATGAGGAGCTCCTGAATGAGCGTGCTGGGCGGTCGCTTTGCGTAGGTAGATGAGTTGCATTGCTGGCATGCCGCCCATTTTGCGTTGATTTGGAGTGTGCTGTAGACTGCGGGCACGCCCCCCGGTTGTCCGCCTCGGACGCGGTGGAGAGCCCACCACGGACACTCGCTTCGCCGCAGTGCTCCACAGCCCGCGCACCTCCCGCCCAGGCAGAGCCAGCCGGGAGTGAATGGTCCGTCGATCGGAGGTGAGTCCCCGCTCCCATCAGTGTTGCCCCTTGGATGCTGCCGTTTCGGGCCGGTGCCCGCCTGTACAAGGCCGCGTTGTGTGTGGCCACAACCCTGCCCTCGCACCGAGCCTCCCGTGGCGTGAACATGCAGCGATCCAGTGCCATTTGGTGTGAGCGCGGCCTTCCAGAGGGCGCTGCGAGCGCATTCCCCCTGCCATGCCCGGTGTTTGGCGCAGGCAGCGGGCAGCACGCGTGGTGTTTCTTGGGAACCCCGGCAGGCAGGCAGGCAGGCAGGCAGGCAGCGCAGTGCACCGCCGTGCAATGCGCTGCAATGCACTGCAATGCTGCCAAGCCATGCGGCACAGGACTACCCGTGGGTCGGCTCGCCCCACGCGGCGTTGGCGATGGGCATTGCTGTGCTTGACGCCAGGCGGCCGGATGCGCAAATGGCTGCTGCGGATTGCTGGCCCCCACAAAGTAATGGCCGCCAAAAGTCGCAAACTGCGCTGCGCAACTGTGCGTCTTGGGGGGGTGCACACGTTGCTTTCCTCGGAGTGGCGGGGCTTGGCTTGGCGCTCGAAGGGAAGACGAACGGACGTTGTGTGGATGCCGGCCGTCGCCGCGCGCAGGGTCCCTAAGGCCTGGTCGCGTGACGCAGGGCGCAGGCGGAAAGTGGGCCGGAAGTGGCGTACGGCGGGATACGCGACATCGTACCTCCATGGGCATACGGTGGCGCCGGCGCGCTCTTGGAATGGATGCCGCGCCCGCCACCCACGGGCCCCGTCGTGGCCTGCGGGCGTTTGGCAGCCACGCTTCCCCGGGGGAGTCCGCGCCGTGGAGCAACCGCGCTGGCACCTTCGAGGCGGGCCGCCGCCGCCGCCAAGTGTGCTGCGAGCATGGGCGCCCCGGGGACGCGAGGTTGTGGCGCGCCCGGCGGGCCAACGCCGCTTGTTTGGGGGGATGCCCCGGGGACTGCGGCTGGCCTGGGCGTTCCCCCGGCGCTGGCGAGCTTTGTGTGAGGGAGGTGAGGAGCGCTGCGCGCGGGCTTGGTGTCCCACGGCCCTGAGAAGGTGTCCCGTTGTGGATGGTGCCGCCAAGCTGAGGCATCGGCATCGCCGGGATCTGCGCGCCCCTTGCACCCGTCCACTGGGCGGAGCGAGGCCCTTGCGCCCCCCGCCGGGCACTTTACGCCTCGGCGGCATCTTCTGTCTGCGTGAACATGGAGGCAATGCCGGGGGCCAGCCTGCGAGCAGGGACAGACGGATGGCGTGTTTCGCGGGCGGCTGGCTGGGCTCCGGGCGGGCTGTGGCGACTTTCCGCGCGTTCCCCGCGCTTGCGGCGCGTCTAGGGCCGAGCTCATGCGGCGCTCGGTCTGCCCGGCGTGCTCCCACCCTGGCTTCCTGGCTTTGCCAAGTGCGAACGACCTGCCAAACGAGCTCTGGCAAGCGAACCAAGTGAAGCACGCGCTGCAGGAGGAGTTGATTTGTTGACGAGGACGGCTGGCCCCTGCCACTGCTGCTGACCAACAACCGTTTGGCTGCGCGAAAGGGCGCGCCTGCGCATCCAGCCTCCAACAACGGGAGTGTTCTTCCTCCCCCTCCGCTCCCAGGGGAGTGTCGTGTCACGTTTTGTTGGCCCCGCGCTCTTGCCCCGCAACCCTGTGCACAAGTGGCGCAACAGAACGGCACAGCCCCTTTCTGTGGCGCTGCAAGTGGACCTGTCCGTTGGTGGGAGCAGTGGATGGGTTGCAGTTGCACAGTGCCTGTCCAATTGCCTTGTGTGGTGGTGCGCTTTTGGCCTAGCAACTGGCTACATGACACTGACTGCGGAAGTGACCGCCTGTGGTTGGGTGCCTGTGGCAGTACATGCTGGCAAACCTCAACGAGCGCTGGCGGGATAGCCGGAACTCGGATGCCGCACCCTGAAGCCCTGCCAGGTGAGTGCGCACAAGTATTGATCTCGTTGCTACTGCCTGTAACTTGTGGTGCCCAGTCCGCTGGTGGCTGTGTGGGCGCTGTTGAGCATCGTGTTCAGAGCGTCGCATGCAAGCACGCGCAGGCCGGCAACGCATGGGCTTCCAGTTCGGGGGCCCTGTGCGGCGGGAGGTAATGCTGGGCCGGGGCCAGCTCCAATGAGAGCGTGTGGTAACTTGTTTGATGGAAAGCAGACTGCGTTTCTCTCTGCCAACGGCCGCGGTCAAGCGCCAGCGGGTGGCGAGGGTGTAGTGGAACGATCGTGGAGTCGCTGGCGGCCAGTAGCTCTTCTCTGGAAACGCCCACCCGCCAAGAGCAGGCAGCTCCTCCGTGCGCATGCGATGCAAAGTGGGACAGTGGCGCGGGAGCAGCAATGTTTGCCAGGGCCCCGAACAGGCCGTGGGCGTGGTTGCGATGCGCGAGCGATGATGGCATGATACACAGTGCAAGGGCCCTCAGGAGTGCGTGTTTAAAAACACGGAGGGCAGCCCCATCCCACAACAGAAAAGGTGTCCCCAGCGTCCCAGTGGTGTCCCAAGCCCTGCCTCAAAAGCATTCCACACGAGCGCCCGGCGCAGCAGGGTGCTGCTGCACTTCATCCCGGCCGTGTGCAGCCGCAGAACCGAGTCAGGTGGTCACCCTGTCGCCACATTGAGCCCTCCCTGTGAGTGCCCAGGCACACGCGCTGCAGCGAACCTCCAGGGCTCCCCGGCGGGCTCGCGTGCCCAGCCGGGGTCGCTGGCAGCTGCGCGGCTGGGCGCTCGAGCTAATGGGCTTCGAGGGGCCCACAGGCCGGTCTGCAGGGCTGCGAGTGCAGCTGATCCGGCAGTGGGCAGTGTGGAAGTGGTGAAGGTGTCGAGCAGTTCGAGGCCTTGAGGTGCGCTCTGCGCCTGTGCCTGTCCACACCATGCGGCGGTGGAGGCTGCCTCAGCTGCCATGTCCGCCCTTCTGGCAGCCATATTCAATGGCATCGCCGGCAGCCGCGCTTCAGCCGGGCTTGAGAGGCCATGTGCAGCCACGGAACCGAGACAAGTGGTCACCCCGACGCCACAGTTAGCCCTCCCTGTGAGTGCCCAGGCACACGCGCTGCAGCGAACCTCCAGGGCTCCCCGGCGGGCTCGCGTGCCCAGCCGGGGTCGCTGGCAGCTGCGCGGCTGGGCACTCGAGCTAACGGGCTTCGAGGGGCCCACAGGCCGGTCTGCAGGGCTGCGGCGAATCAGGCGGCCGTCATGGCGTAGGCGGCGTCGAACTGCGTGATGAAGGTGATGAGAAGTGTGAGGGCTTGGGGGGCGCGGTGCGGCTGCCTCTCTCCAAACCATGCGGCAACGGAGGCCACTTCAGCCTCCACATCCGCCCTTCTGGCTGCCAGGTCGCCCCGCGCTCCCTCCGTGCTGGCCAGGAAGCCGTGCAGCCGCGCCCCAAATGCGTCCTCCCCCCCCCGGGCTGCGCTTGTGCCCGCCGCGCCCGGCCACCCCCCCCCCTCCTGGCCCCCCACCCAGGCCCTCCCACAGATGGCCGCGTACTCGGCCATGGCCTTCTTCAGGCCGACCGCGGCGTCCTGCTCCAGCTCTTGGAGGCCTCCGGAGAGGAGAGGGGCGGCCGCGGGGAGGCTGGGCGTCTGGCCACCCAAGAAGCCCCCTGCCCCTTGGTGGGCTGCCCCTGGCAGGCCCCTCACCACGCGTGCCAGGAAGTCCAAGAGTGTCCTGGCCTGGGTGCTGGCCTGGGGGGCGCCGGCGAGGGGCCCGCGTGCTGGCTGGGCAGGCGGGGAGGACGACGGCGCCGAGCTGCCTGTGACCTTGAAGCTTGTGAAGGCAGCCAGCGACTCCAGCGTGATGGCCCTGGCGCTGCCCTTGGGAGATCCATCGTTGACTGCATTGCCCACCTGGTTGGCAAAAGGCGAGCGTCCCGGGTCAGAGATGGCTGTGCGATTTGTAAGCGGACCTGCAAGTTGGTGTGTGAGCTGATTTGTGACCAAACTGACTTGTGTGCAAACAGAGTGCGGACACGTGGGTTGCCGTGAGTGTGTGGCTGGATCCGCGCGTCGTCTGACTCATGTGTGCTGCGCTTGGGAAGGCTAGAATATTCTGGAATCGCAACATTGCCCGCGCTGCAAGATCGCTTTCCAGCAGTTCGCGCAAGCGCATCTGGCGGAGCAGCCTCACAGAATGCTTCACTTGGCGCGGGAAGCAAGTTGGCATGTTGTTGATGCAAGCAATAGCTCGCCGGCAATGCTTGAAGCACAGCCACGCGTGCGTCTAGTTTCGTTAGAGACACGAATCGTGCGTGCCAGTGTCCACGTCGTCGGCAGCGGAGACCGCGGTGCTCGGTCAATCATGGCGACGGCAAGCCCGCCCGTGGGTCCTTGTGTGGTGGGCACTTGTTGGATTTCGCTCAGTCGTGCGATGCATTGGGAAGCTAGGTTGCTCAAGAGCTGCCAGCGGCCATGGGGCGCTGCGTGCAGTGCATCCCCGAAAAGAGACTACACAGATGAACAGGAGCCAACGAAGAGCTGAATTAATTAGTTAGTAGAATGGGTGGAGAAAGCAGGCATGGGGGCAGCTGCGCAGCCAAGCACAGGCGGGGCTAGAAAGTGTGGCTGCTGTGCCCCCGTCCAGGGTATCGCCTTGGATGAAATGGCGGCCGCGGTGTCCATGGGCGGGCAGGGGCAATGGCAGGTCTGTGAGCGGGTGGTGTTGCGCGAAAGGGGCACTCACGGTCAGGGCGCATGAGAGGACGCTCTGGAGGCGGGAGCTCCGACGAAGCTCCTGGCAGGCGGCCTGGACGGTGTCCAGCGCCTGCACGCTCTCGTTGCGGAGCTCCTCCCATTTCATGATGAACAGCGCCACGCGGCACTTGGCCTTCAACCTGGGCACTTGGTTCATCTGCAGCAGCACTCGCTCGGCCGCCGTCAGATCCTGCGGCGCGCCCCCAAAGTCCTTGAAGTCCTTTCTTTCCCCCTTCTTCGGGGCTATCTGCATCGCAGCGCAGCTCAGCGCTCAAATCGGAGGCCAAGCTAGTGGCCTTTGAGTGCATCGCGCCGGGTTGTTTCCCCAATATGTCCACCCTCCCAGGCAATGGCACCAACATCGACACTCCAGCCATGCCTCCGCGCACGCAGGAAAATGTTTATCAGCTGTCATCAATGGCAGGCGACCTGCGGTGATGAGCCTCCATGCGCATTCTATGTGAGTGTTCAAGTGGGCGTTGGTGGGCAAATTCAGTAGGCATGTCAGCGAGTGTATTAGTAACGTATTTTGGCATGTGCGTCAGTGAATATGTGCCCGTGGTGAATATGTTGTGCGTTGCAGCGCCTTGCAGCCCAGGGCACGGCGGTGAGGTGCGGCTGCGTTTCGCCGCCACCAAGGCAGAGGGCGGCGTGGCATCACTCGTGGAAGCTCGGACTGTGTTTGGAGAGCGGCTAGTGGAAGCCCTGCCCTCCAGTTCACCTGTCGAATGAGGCCCATTTCCTCCCACGTTAGCCCCTGGAAGCTGAGAACGGCGTGCATCATGCCCCCCACGCCCCCGGGGAAGGCTTTGAAGCGCGTCATCATGATGGACACGTTGTTGGCCCGCCTGATGTCAATCATAGTTGGGCGGCCCTCGGGGCCGCCAGCCACGGGGGCGGGCTTGGACTTGGAGGAGGACGCCCCAGCCCAGGCCGGGTTCCTGAAGAGGGACTCCAACATCTCGGCCATCTGGGGCACGAGGGCGGGGGCTGCGGGGAGGCTGCACCACACGGTGCCCGTGCGCCGGCTGAGCTTGCTCCAGTGGAACGTCCGAAGTTTGCGGACCTCAGCATCCTGCGGCACGTCATTGGTGGGGCGTCAACGGGTGCCGTGCGGGCGAGTGTGCGGGACTGGCGAGCCTCGCTCTGGTCGCGTGCAGGGTGCAGATTCGGGAGCCCAAATGAGCGCGATGGCGCACAAAAGGAGGGGCCATGAATCCACGCGCGGTGCCTCTTGCATGCAGCCGAGCGTCCCCCAACTGGGAGCCTGTCATGCGCTGTGGGGCTGGGTGTGCTTTTTCAACATAATGTGGAGCCTGGCTGTCCACGGCGCTGCCCATGGTCGTAATGCCAGCGCGCGCCGCGTGAACGCCCAATGGTGACTCGACCTGGCAATGCAGGCCGGACTTCCGAGCGATGGTTTGTGTGATGTAAGCTGTCAGAACATGCCGCTGTGGTGGTGATTGTGTCCAAATGGCAGCGAAAGCCGTGCCCTGCGTTCAGCTGCCCTGATTGTCGTGGTGGGTAATCGAAAGCTGCGCCCCTGGTCCGTTGCACCATGTATGAGGCAAATCCCGTGCACAATTGAGGCTGCGTGCTCGCGGCGCTGGCATCCAAATCGGCTGGCTGGCTGGCTGGCTGGCTGGCCCACCTCGCCTGGCTTCTCGGTTTTGGGGGGCGGTGGTGGCGGTGCGGGTGGTGCCGCGGGCGGTCCCCTGACGACGGCCTTCGCCCGTTGCTCTCCCTCCGCCTCCGACGTCGTGCCTGCGCTGCAGGGGGCCTCTTGCGCCTCTGGCGCCGCTGTCTCCTCGGACACCGCGTCCGCGGGAGGAGAGGCATCTACAACAAAGGCAAGGCGCGCTGCACTTGGAATCTGAGTGACGGCACAGACCTGTTGCGGCGGTCGGTGAGGTTGGTGTGTCGGGGCGCTGGAGTGCGGCGGGAGTTTTTTGACCATCTGACGCGTTGGGCAGCTCCCCTAGAGCGCACAGTCCGTCCGGGGACGTGGCAACGCAGCCACAGAAGAGCGGAACGGCGGCGGCCGTCGGCAAATCAGCAGCTACGCGTGTGATCCTGCCGACTCTCCCCTGGCAGCGTGTACGACTGCGGGCGTCTCCAAGCTTGAACGAGGACGAACGCTTTCTCATTCCGACAGATTGTTCCCGCCCAGTATTTGAGCTTGCACTTCGGAGCATTTCGATTTTTTTTCGACCCACTTCTCAACTCGGACAGACTTTGGGCAGCGGCATTTTGGCAGGGATGCCAGAGCGGCGGGAAAATGGGCACAGAATTCGGCTGACGTTCGGGGGCGCACCCTGCTGGCCTCCCCGTGCCCTCCTCCGCCGACCGAGGGCCCACCGCGCGGCGGAGCCCCCAACCACGGCCAGCAGGCCGAGTGCAATCCACAGGGGGTCGCCCCCCCCGCGCCTGTGGCGCCTCCCACTCTCGCCGTCGCCCATGCCTGCCCGCAGAGTAGAAAACAATTCAATAATTCTGGAAATGCGCCATGGGACAGTTGGCCCTGACGCCTGCGGCGGGATTGAGCCTCGCGCCCAGACGTCCGGGCTGGTGGGAGCGGCCGGAAGGGCGGCTGCGCCGACGTGCTGGAGGCCCCGGGAGAGCAATTCCCGGGAGTGGGCGGCCCCCCAAAAGCCGTCGGGAAATTCCTCCTCCTGGGAGGAGGGGGAGAGCGCCAGGGGCGACGGCCAGCGGCAACCGGCGCCGGCGCCCGAACTCGGCCACAAAAACGCGCGTGAGGGCGACCAAAAATTTTTGAGAGCGCCGGCCGCGTCTCCCCTACCGCCGCTGGGGCGCTCTTCGCCGCGGGCGTCCTCCTGCTCAGCTGCCGCTACAGAAACGCGTGCCTCTCCTCCGCAGCCGGCTGGCAGGCAGGCGCCGAATGCCGCCACTCCTCGCTCCGTCGCACGAGTGTGGATTCCTGGTCGTCGCCCCGAGGATGGCGAAGACGAGAGACGAGCGGCGGGCGGACGGAAGTGGGCGGGAGCTGGGCGCTGTGCGGAATGACGTCTCCCGCCACTGGGGCGGCGCTTATGAATATGCTTGCTTTTTTAATCCCAACCCACCCCTCCCCACGCCGCCGGTTTGGGGCTTCATTGTGAGCATTTGTGACGGGCCCAATTGCGCGCACGCCGTTGTGCCACAGCGGATGAACGTGGGCGCTGGAGGCGCCGCCCAGAGCCCCGTTGGGGTTGTCCACTGGCCGTCAGCGGCGGCTCACCGGCATGGTGCACGAAAGACCCGCCCACAGTGCCACCAGTGGGCGGTGCGCAGGAGCACAACTTTGTAGCTATGTATTTAGTCCATGCAGCGCAAGGAGCCGCGGCGGCAAATCAATACGCCGCTGATGCCACAACTTGTCGGAACTTGTGGTCCGAGAGACCTCTTTTCAGAGGCTGCTGCTGAAATTCCACCCAGCAATGGGGCGTCCGGAAAAATGGCCATTTCGTCAAGTTGGCTCGCACCAGCGGCGCATTCAAGCCTTGAAATGCTTCTCGGAAGGTGTCTGAAGGGCGTCTGCGCCCTCCTGAAACGCGGTGAGTGCTGTCCTTGGGCGCGGAAGGCGTGGCGTTGGAGGAGGTCTAGTAGAAGCCATGCTAAAGTAGGCAGAAGTGAAGCAATACTGCCCGGAGCTTGTCCAGGTCAGAGTGCGTGTGCCCGCCGTGTGTCACGAAGTGTGTGTCACGAAGCGGAGTGCGTTCCTCACTGTCCTGTCGCAAATTGTGCTGGCCTGGAAACGAGGAGCGGGCCTGCGTGCCGGCGCCGCATTTTGGACGTTTGAAAGCTGTAGGGGCATGAGGAGCTCCTGAATGAGCGTGCTGGGCGGTCGCTTTGCGTAGGTAGATGAGTTGCATTGCTGGCATGCCGCCCATTTTGCGTTGATTTGGAGTGTGCTGTAGACTGCGGGCACGCCCCCCGGTTGTCCGCCTCGGACGCGGTGGAGAGCCCACCACGGACACTCGCTTCGCCGCAGTGCTCCACAGCCCGCGCACCTCCCGCCCAGGCAGAGCCAGCCGGGAGTGAATGGTCCGTCGATCGGAGGTGAGTCCCCGCTCCCATCAGTGTTGCCCCTTGGATGCTGCCGTTTCGGGCCGGTGCCCGCCTGTACAAGGCCGCGTTGTGTGTGGCCACAACCCTGCCCTCGCACCGAGCCTCCCGTGGCGTGAACATGCAGCGATCCAGTGCCATTTGGTGTGAGCGCGGCCTTCCAGAGGGCGCTGCGAGCGCATTCCCCCTGCCATGCCCGGTGTTTGGCGCAGGCAGCGGGCAGCACGCGTGGTGTTTCTTGGGAACCCCGGCAGGCAGGCAGGCAGGCAGCGCAGTGCACCGCCGTGCAATGCGCTGCAATGCACTGCAATGCCGCCAAGCCATGCGGCACAGGACTACCCGTGGGTCGGCTCGCCCCACGCGGCGTTGGCGATGGGCATTGCTGTGCTTGACGCCAGGCGGCCGGATGCGCAAATGGCTGCTGCGGATTGCTGGCCCCCACAAAGTAATGGCCGCCAAAAGTCGCAAACTGCGCTGCGCAACTGTGCGTCTTGGGGGGGTGCACACGTTGCTTTCCTCGGAGTGGCGGGGCTTGGCTTGGCGCTCGAAGGGAAGACGAACGGACGTTGTGTGGATGCCGGCCGTCGCCGCGCGCAGGGTCCCTAAGGCCTGGTCGCGTGACGCAGGGCGCAGGCGGAAAGTGGGCCGGAAGTGGCGTACGGCGGGATACGCGACATCGTACCTCCATGGGCATACGGTGGCGCCGGCGCGCTCTTGGAATGGATGCCGCGCCCGCCACCCACGGGCCCCGTCGTGGCCTGCGGGCGTTTGGCAGCCGCGCTTCCCCGGGGGAGTCCGCGCCGTGGAGCAACCGCGCTGGCACCTTCGAGGCGGGCCGCCGCCGCCAAGTGTGCTGCGAGCATGGGCGCCCCGGGGACGCGAGGTTGTGGCGCGCCCGGCGGGCCAACGCCGCTTGTTTGGGGGGATGCCCCGGGGACTGCGGCTGGCCTGGGCGTTCCCCCGGCGCTGGCGAGCTTTGTGTGAGGGAGGTGAGGAGCGCTGCGCGCGGGCTTGGTGTCCCACGGCCCTGAGAAGGTGTCCCGTTGTGGATGGTGCCGCCAAGCTGAGGCATCGGCATCGCCGGGATCTGCGCGCCCCTTGCACCCGTCCACTGGGCGGAGCGAGGCCCTTGCGCCCCCCGCCGGGCACTTTACGCCTCGGCGGCATCTTCTGTCTGCGTGAACATGGAGGCAATGCCGGGGGCCAGCCTGCGAGCAGGGACAGACGGATGGCGTGTTTCGCGGGCGGCTGGCTGGGCTCCGGGCGGGCTGTGGCGACTTTCCGCGCGTTCCCCGCGCTTGCGGCGCGTCTAGGGCCGAGCTCATGCGGCGCTCGGTCTGCCCGGCGTGCTCCCACCCTGGCTTCCTGGCTTTGCCAAGTGCGAACGACCTGCCAAACGAGCTCTGGCAAGCGAACCAAGTGAAGCACGCGCTGCAGGAGGAGTTGATTTGTTGACGAGGACGGCTGGCCCCTGCCACTGCTGCTGACCAACAACCGTTTGGCTGCGCGAAAGGGCGCGCCTGCGCATCCAGCCTCCAACAACGGGAGTGTTCTTCCTCCCCCTCCGCTCCCAGGGGAGTGTCGTGTCACGTTTTGTTGGCCCCGCGCTCTTGCCCCGCAACCCTGTGCACAAGTGGCGCAACAGAACGGCACAGCCCCTTTCTGTGGCGCTGCAAGTGGACCTGTCCGTTGGTGGGAGCAGTGGATGGGTTGCAGTTGCACAGTGCCTGTCCAATTGCCTTGTGTGGTGGTGCGCTTTTGGCCTAGCAACTGGCTACATGACACTGACTGCGGAAGTGACCGCCTGTGGTTGGGTGCCTGTGGCAGTACATGCTGGCAAACCTCAACGAGCGCTGGCGGGATAGCCGGAACTCGGATGCCGCACCCTGAAGCCCTGCCAGGTGAGTGCGCACAAGTATTGATCTCGTTGCTACTGCCTGTAACTTGTGGTGCCCAGTCCGCTGGTGGCTGTGTGGGCGCTGTTGAGCATCGTGTTCAGAGCGTCGCATGCAAGCACGCGCAGGCCGGCAACGCATGGGCTTCCAGTTCGGGGGCCCTGTGCGGCGGGAGGTAATGCTGGGCCGGGGCCAGCTCCAATGAGAGCGTGTGGTAACTTGTTTGATGGAAAGCAGACTGCGTTTCTCTCTGCCAACGGCCGCGGTCAAGCGCCAGCGGGTGGCGAGGGTGTAGTGGAACGATCGTGGAGTCGCTGGCGGCCAGTAGCTCTTCTCTGGAAACGCCCACCCGCCAAGAGCAGGCAGCTCCTCCGTGCGCATGCGATGCAAAGTGGGACAGTGGCGCGGGAGCAGCAATGTTTGCCAGGGCCCCGAACAGGCCGTGGGCGTGGTTGCGATGCGCGAGCGATGATGGCATGATACACAGTGCAAGGGCCCTCAGGAGTGCGTGTTTAAAAACACGGAGGGCAGCCCCATCCCACAACAGAAAAGGTGTCCCCAGCGTCCCAGTGGTGTCCCAAGCCCTGCCTCAAAAGCATTCCACACGAGCGCCCGGCGCAGCAGGGTGCTGCTGCGCTTCATCCCGGCCGTGTGCAGCCGCAGAACCGAGTCAGGTGGTCACCCTGTCGCCACATTGAGCCCTCCCTGTGAGTGCCCAGGCACACGCGCTGCAGCGAACCTCCAGGGCTCCCCGGCGGGCTCGCGTGCCCAGCCGGGGTCGCTGGCAGCTGCGCGGCTGGGCGCTCGAGCTAATGGGCTTCGAGGGGCCCACAGGCCGGTCTGCAGGGCTGCGAGTGCAGCTGATCCGGCAGTGGGCAGTGTGGAAGTGGTGAAGGTGTCGAGCAGTTCGAGGCCTTGAGGTGCGCTCTGCGCCTGTGCCTGTCCACACCATGCGGCGGTGGAGGCTGCCTCAGCTGCCATGTCCGCCCTTCTGGCAGCCATATTCAATGGCATCGCCGGCAGCCGCGCTTCAGCCGGGCTTGAGAGGCCATGTGCAGCCACGGAACCGAGACAAGTGGTCACCCCGACGCCACAGTTAGCCCTCCCTGTGAGTGCCCAGGCACACGCGCTGCAGCGAACCTCCAGGGCTCCCCGGCGGGCTCGCGTGCCCAGCCGGGGTCGCTGGCAGCTGCGCGGCTGGGCACTCGAGCTAACGGGCTTCGAGGGGCCCACAGGCCGGTCTGCAGGGCTGCGGCGAATCAGGCGGCCGTCATGGCGTAGGCGGCGTCGAACTGCGTGATGAAGGTGATGAGAAGTGTGAGGGCTTGGGGGGCGCGGTGCGGCTGCCTCTCTCCAAACCATGCGGCAACGGAGGCCACTTCAGCCTCCACATCCGCCCTTCTGGCTGCCAGGTCGCCCCGCGCTCCCTCCGTGCTGGCCAGGAAGCCGTGCAGCCGCGCCCCAAATGCGTCCTCCCCCCCCCGGGCTGCGCTTGTGCCCGCCGCGCCCGGCCATCCCCCCCCCTCCTGGCCCCCCACCCAGGCCCTCCCACAGATGGCCGCGTACTCGGCCATGGCCTTCTTCAGGCCGACCGCGGCGTCCTCCTCCAGCTCTTGGAGGCCTCCGGAGAGGAGAGGGGCGGCCGCGGGGAGGCTGGGCGTCTGGCCACCCAAGAAGCCCCCTGCCCCTTGGTGGGCTGCCCCTGGCAGGCCCCTCACCACGCGTGCCAGGAAGTCCAAGAGTGTCCTGGCCTGGGTGCTGGCCTGGGGGGCGCCGGCGAGGGGCCCGCGTGCTGGCTGGGCAGGCGGGGAGGACGACGGCGCCGAGCTGCCTGTGACCTTGAAGCTTGTGAAGGCAGCCAGCGACTCCAGCGTGATGGCCCTGGCGCTGCCCTTGGGAGATCCATCGTTGACTGCATTGCCCACCTGGTTGGCAAAAGGCGAGCGTCCCGGGTCAGAGATGGCTGTGCGATTTGTAAGCGGACCTGCAAGTTGGTGTGTGAGCTGATTTGTGACCAAACTGACTTGTGTGCAAACAGAGTGCGGACACGTGGGCTGCCGTGAGTGTGTGGCTGGATCCGCGCGTCGTCTGACTCATGTGTGCTGCGCTTGGGAAGGCTAGAATATTCTGGATCGCAACATTGCCCGCGCTGCAAGATCGCTTTCCAGCAGTTCGCGCAAGCGCATCTGGCGGAGCAGCCTCACAGAATGCTTCACTTGGCGCGGGAAGCAAGTTGGCATGTTGTTGATGCAAGCAATAGCTCGCCGGCAATGCTTGAAGCACAGCCACGCGTGCGTCTAGTTTCGTTAGAGACACGAATCGTGCGTGCCAATGTCCACGTCGTCGGCAGCGGAGACCGCGGTGCTCGGTCAATCATGGCGACGGCAAGCCCGCCCGTGGGTCCTTGTGTGGTGGGCACTTGTTGGATTTCGCTCAGTCGTGCGATGCATTGGGAAGCTAGGTTGCTCAAGAGCTGCCAGCGGCCATGGGGCGCTGCGTGCAGTGCATCCCCGAAAAGAGACTACACAGATGAACAGGAGCCAACGAAGAGCTGAATTAATTAGTTAGTAGAATGGGTGGAGAAAGCAGGCATGGGGGCAGCTGCGCAGCCAAGCACAGGCGGGGCTAGAAAGTGTGGCTGCTGTGCCCCCGTCCAGGGTATCGCCTTGGATGAAATGGCGGCCGCGGTGTCCATGGGCGGGCAGGGGCAATGGCAGGTCTGTGAGCGGGTGGTGTTGCGCGAAAGGGGCACTCACGGTCAGGGCGCATGAGAGGACGCTCTGGAGGCGGGAGCTCCGACGAAGCTCCTGGCAGGCGGCCTGGACGGTGTCCAGCGCCTGCACGCTCTCGTTGCGGAGCTCCTCCCATTTCATGATGAACAGCGCCACGCGGCACTTGGCCTTCAACCTGGGCACTTGGTTCATCTGCAGCAGCACTCGCTCGGCCGCCGTCAGATCCTGCGGCGCGCCCCCAAAGTCCTTGAAGTCCTTTCTTTCCCCCTTCTTCGGGGCTATCTGCATCACAGCGCAGCTCAGCGCTCAAATCGGAGGCCAAGCTAGTGGCCTTTGAGTGCATCGCGCCGGGTTGTTTCCCCAATATGTCCACCCTCCCAGGCAATGGCACCAACATCGACACTCCAGCCATGCCTCCGCGCACGCAGGAAAATGTTTATCAGCTGTCATCAATGGCAGGCGACCTGCGGTGATGAGCCTCCATGCGCATTCTATGTGAGTGTTCAAGTGGGCGTTGGTGGGCAAATTCAGTAGGCATGTCAGCGAGTGTATTAGTAACGTATTTTGGCATGTGCGTCAGTGAATATGTGCCCGTGGTGAATATGTTGTGCGTTGCAGCGCCTTGCAGCCAAGGGCACGGCGGTGAGGTGCGGCTGCGTTTCGCCGCCACCAAGGCAGAGGGCGGCGTGGCATCACTCGTGGAAGCTCGGACTGTGTTTGGAGAGCGGCTAGTGGAAGCCCTGCCCTCCAGTTCACCTGTCGAATGAGGCCCATTTCCTCCCACGTTAGCCCCTGGAAGCTGAGAACGGCGTGCATCATGCCCCCCACGCCCCCGGGGAAGGCTTTGAAGCGCGTCATCATGATGGACACGTTGTTGGCCCGCCTGATGTCAATCATAGTTGGGCGGCCCTCGGCCAGCCACGGGGGCGGGCTTGGACTTGGAGGAGGACGCCCCAGCCCAGGCCGGGTTCCTGAAGAGGGACTCCAACATCTCGGCCATCTGGGGCACGAGGGCGGGGGCTGCGGGGAGGCTGCACCACACGGTGCCCGTGCGCCGGCTGAGCTTGCTCCAGTGGAACGTCCGAAGTTTGCGGACCTCAGCATCCTGCGGCACGTCATTGGTGGGGCGTCAACGGGTGCCGTGCGGGCGAGTGTGCGGGACTGGCGAGCCTCGCTCTGGTCGCGTGCAGGGTGCAGATTCGGGAGCCCAAATGAGCGCGATGGCGCACAAAAGGAGGGGCCATGAATCCACGCGCGGTGCCTCTTGCATGCAGCCGAGCGTCCCCCAACTGGGAGCCTGTCATGCGCTGTGGGGCTGGGTGTGCTTTTTCAACATAATGTGGAGCCTGGCTGTCCACGGCGCTGCCCATGGTCGTAATGCCAGCGCGCGCCGCGTGAACGCCCAATGGTGACTCGACCTGGCAATGCAGGCCGGACTTCCGAGCGATGGTTTGTGTGATGTAAGCTGTCAGAACATGCCGCTGTGGTGGTGATTGTGTCCAAATGGCAGCGAAAGCCGTGCCCTGCGTTCAGCTGCCCTGATTGTCGTGGTGGGTAATCGAAAGCTGCGCCCCTGGTCCGTTGCACCATGTATGAGGCAAATCCCGTGCACAATTGAGGCTGCGTGCTCGCGGCGCTGGCATCCAAATCGGCTGGCTGGCTGGCTGGCTGGCTGGCCCACCTCGCCTGGCTTCTCGGTTTTGGGGGGCGGTGGTGGCGGTGCGGGTGGTGCCGCGGGCGGTCCCCTGACGACGGCCTTCGCCCGTTGCTCTCCCTCCGCCTCCGACGTCGTGCCTGCGCTGCAGGGGGCCTCTTGCGCCTCTGGCGCCGCTGTCTCCTCGGACACCGCGTCCGCGGGAGGAGAGGCATCTACAACAAAGGCAAGGCGCGCTGCACTTGGAATCTGAGTGACGGCACAGACCTGTTGCGGCGGTCGGTGAGGTTGGTGTGTCGGGGCGCTGGAGTGCGGCGGGAGTTTTTTGACCATCTGACGCGTTGGGCAGCTCCCCTAGAGCGCACAGTCCGTCCGGGGACGTGGCAACGCAGCCACAGAAGAGCGGAACGGCGGCGGCCGTCGGCAAATCAGCAGCTACGCGTGTGATCCTGCCGACTCTCCCCTGGCAGCGTGTACGACTGCGGGCGTCTCCAAGCTTGAACGAGGACGAACGCTTTCTCATTCCGACAGATTGTTCCCGCCCAGTATTTGAGCTTGCACTTCGGAGCATTTCGATTTTTTTTCGACCCACTTCTCAACTCGGACAGACTTTGGGCAGCGGCATTTTGGCAGGGATGCCAGAGCGGCGGGAAAATGGGCACAGAATTCGGCTGACGTTCGGGGGCGCACCCTGCTGGCCTCCCCGTGCCCTCCTCCGCCGACCGAGGGCCCACCGCGCGGCGGAGCCCCCAACCACGGCCAGCAGGCCGAGTGCAATCCACAGGGGGTCGCCCCCCCCGCGCCTGTGGCGCCTCCCACTCTCGCCGTCGCCCATGCCTGCCCGCAGAGTAGAAAACAATTCAATAATTCTGGAAATGCGCCATGGGACAGTTGGCCCTGACGCCTGCGGCGGGATTGAGCCTCGCGCCCAGACGTCCGGGCTGGTGGGAGCGGCCGGAAGGGCGGCTGCGCCGACGTGCTGGAGGCCCCGGGAGAGCAATTCCCGGGAGTGGGCGGCCCCCCAAAAGCCGTCGGGAAATTCCTCCTCCTGGGAGGAGGGGGAGAGCGCCAGGGGCGACGGCCAGCGGCAACCGGCGCCGGCGCCCGAACTCGGCCACAAAAACGCGCGTGAGGGCGACCAAAAATTTTTGAGAGCGCCGGCCGCGTCTCCCCTACCGCCGCTGGGGCGCTCTTCGCCGCGGGCGTCCTCCTGCTCAGCTGCCGCTACAGAAACGCGTGCCTCTCCTCCGCAGCCGGCTGGCAGGCAGGCGCCGAATGCCGCCACTCCTCGCTCCGTCGCACGAGTGTGGATTCCTGGTCGTCGCCCCGAGGATGGCGAAGACGAGAGACGAGCGGCGGGCGGACGGAAGTGGGCGGGAGCTGGGCGCTGTGCGGAATGACGTCTCCCGCCACTGGGGCGGCGCTTATGAATATGCTTGCTTTTTTAATCCCAACCCACCCCTCCCCACGCCGCCGGTTTGGGGCTTCATTGTGAGCATTTGTGACGGGCCCAATTGCGCGCACGCCGTTGTGCCACAGCGGATGAACGTGGGCGCTGGAGGCGCCGCCCAGAGCCCCGTTGGGGTTGTCCACTGGCCGTCAGCGGCGGCTCACCGGCATGGTGCACGAAAGACCCGCCCACAGTGCCACCAGTGGGCGGTGCGCAGGAGCACAACTTTGTAGCTATGTATTTAGTCCATGCAGCGCAAGGAGCCGCGGCGGCAAATCAATACGCCGCTGATGCCACAACTTGTCGGAACTTGTGGTCCGAGAGACCTCTTTTCAGAGGCTGCTGCTGAAATTCCACCCAGCAATGGGGCGTCCGGAAAAATGGGCATTTCGTCAAGTTGGCTCGCACCAGCGGCGCATTCAAGCCTTGAAATGCTTCTCGGAAGGTGTCTGAAGGGCGTCTGCGCCCTCCTGAAACGCGGTGAGTGCTGTCCTTGGGCGCGGAAGGCGTGGCGTTGGAGGAGGTCTAGTAGAAGCCATGCTAAAGTAGGCAGAAGTGAAGCAATACTGCCCGGAGCTTGTCCAGGTCAGAGTGCGTGTGCCCGCCGTGTGTCACGAAGTGTGTGTCACGAAGCGGAGTGCGTTCCTCACTGTCCTGTCGCAAATTGTGCTGGCCTGGAAACGAGGAGCGGGCCTGCGTGCCGGCGCCGCATTTTGGACGTTTGAAAGCTGTAGGGGCATGAGGAGCTCCTGAATGAGCGTGCTGGGCGGTCGCTTTGCGTAGGTAGATGAGTTGCATTGCTGGCATGCCGCCCATTTTGCGTTGATTTGGAGTGTGCTGTAGACTGCGGGCACGCCCCCCGGTTGTCCGCCTCGGACGCGGTGGAGAGCCCACCACGGACACTCGCTTCGCCGCAGTGCTCCACAGCCCGCGCACCTCCCGCCCAGGCAGAGCCAGCCGGGAGTGAATGGTCCGTCGATCGGAGGTGAGTCCCCGCTCCCATCAGTGTTGCCCCTTGGATGCTGCCGTTTCGGGCCGGTGCCCGCCTGTACAAGGCCGCGTTGTGTGTGGCCACAACCCTGCCCTCGCACCGAGCCTCCCGTGGCGTGAACATGCAGCGATCCAGTGCCATTTGGTGTGAGCGCGGCCTTCCAGAGGGCGCTGCGAGCGCATTCCCCCTGCCATGCCCGGTGTTTGGCGCAGGCAGCGGGCAGCACGCGTGGTGTTTCTTGGGAACCCCGGCAGGCAGGCAGGCAGGCAGCGCAGTGCACCGCCGTGCAATGCGCTGCAATGCACTGCAATGCCGCCAAGCCATGCGGCACAGGACTACCCGTGGGTCGGCTCGCCCCACGCGGCGTTGGCGATGGGCATTGCTGTGCTTGACGCCAGGCGGCCGGATGCGCAAATGGCTGCTGCGGATTGCTGGCCCCCACAAAGTAATGGCCGCCAAAAGTCGCAAACTGCGCTGCGCAACTGTGCGTCTTGGGGGGGTGCACACGTTGCTTTCCTCGGAGTGGCGGGGCTTGGCTTGGCGCTCGAAGGGAAGACGAACGGACGTTGTGTGGATGCCGGCCGTCGCCGCGCGCAGGGTCCCTAAGGCCTGGTCGCGTGACGCAGGGCGCAGGCGGAAAGTGGGCCGGAAGTGGCGTACGGCGGGATACGCGACATCGTACCTCCATGGGCATACGGTGGCGCCGGCGCGCTCTTGGAATGGATGCCGCGCCCGCCACCCACGGGCCCCGTCGTGGCCTGCGGGCGTTTGGCAGCCACGCTTCCCCGGGGGAGTCCGCGCCGTGGAGCAACCGCGCTGGCACCTTCGAGGCGGGCCGCCGCCGCCGCCAAGTGTGCTGCGAGCATGGGCGCCCCGGGGACGCGAGGTTGTGGCGCGCCCGGCGGGCCAACGCCGCTTGTTTGGGGGGATGCCCCGGGGACTGCGGCTGGCCTGGGCGTTCCCCCGGCGCTGGCGAGCTTTGTGTGAGGGAGGTGAGGAGCGCTGCGCGCGGGCTTGGTGTCCCACGGCCCTGAGAAGGTGTCCCGTTGTGGATGGTGCCGCCAAGCTGAGGCATCGGCATCGCCGGGATCTGCGCGCCCCTTGCACCCGTCCACTGGGCGGAGCGAGGCCCTTGCGCCCCCCGCCGGGCACTTTACGCCTCGGCGGCATCTTCTGTCTGCGTGAACATGGAGGCAATGCCGGGGGCCAGCCTGCGAGCAGGGACAGACGGATGGCGTGTTTCGCGGGCGGCTGGCTGGGCTCCGGGCGGGCTGTGGCGACTTTCCGCGCGTTCCCCGCGCTTGCGGCGCGTCTAGGGCCGAGCTCATGCGGCGCTCGGTCTGCCCGGCGTGCTCCCACCCTGGCTTCCTGGCTTTGCCAAGTGCGAACGACCTGCCAAACGAGCTCTGGCAAGCGAACCAAGTGAAGCACGCGCTGCAGGAGGAGTTGATTTGTTGACGAGGACGGCTGGCCCCTGCCACTGCTGCTGACCAACAACCGTTTGGCTGCGCGAAAGGGCGCGCCTGCGCATCCAGCCTCCAACAACGGGAGTGTTCTTCCTCCCCCTCCGCTCCCAGGGGAGTGTCGTGTCACGTTTTGTTGGCCCCGCGCTCTTGCCCCGCAACCCTGTGCACAAGTGGCGCAACAGAACGGCACAGCCCCTTTCTGTGGCGCTGCAAGTGGACCTGTCCGTTGGTGGGAGCAGTGGATGGGTTGCAGTTGCACAGTGCCTGTCCAATTGCCTTGTGTGGTGGTGCGCTTTTGGCCTAGCAACTGGCTACATGACACTGACTGCGGAAGTGACCGCCTGTGGTTGGGTGCCTGTGGCAGTACATGCTGGCAAACCTCAACGAGCGCTGGCGGGATAGCCGGAACTCGGATGCCGCACCCTGAAGCCCTGCCAGGTGAGTGCGCACAAGTATTGATCTCGTTGCTACTGCCTGTAACTTGTGGTGCCCAGTCCGCTGGTGGCTGTGTGGGCGCTGTTGAGCATCGTGTTCAGAGCGTCGCATGCAAGCACGCGCAGGCCGGCAACGCATGGGCTTCCAGTTCGGGGGCCCTGTGCGGCGGGAGGTAATGCTGGGCCGGGGCCAGCTCCAATGAGAGCGTGTGGTAACTTGTTTGATGGAAAGCAGACTGCGTTTCTCTCTGCCAACGGCCGCGGTCAAGCGCCAGCGGGTGGCGAGGGTGCAGTGGAACGATCGTGGAGTCGCTGGCGGCCAGTAGCTCTTCTCTGGAAACGCCCACCCGCCAAGAGCAGGCAGCTCCTCCGTGCGCATGCGATGCAAAGTGGGACAGTGGCGCGGGAGCAGCAATGTTTGCCAGGGCCCCAAACAGGCCGTGGGCGTGGTTGCGATGCGCGAGCGATGATGGCATGATACACAGTGCAAGGGCCCTCAGGAGTGCGTGTTTAAAAACACGGAGGGCAGCCCCATCCCACAACAGAAAAGGTGTCCCCAGCGTCCCAGTGGTGTCCCAAGCCCTGCCTCAAAAGCATTCCACACGAGCGCCCGGCGCAGCAGGGTGCTGCTGCACTTCATCCCGGCCGTGTGCAGCCGCAGAACCGAGTCAGGTGGTCACCCTGTCGCCACATTGAGCCCTCCCTGTGAGTGCCCAGGCACACGCGCTGCAGCGAACCTCCAGGGCTCCCCGGCGGGCTCGCGTGCCCAGCCGGGGTCGCTGGCAGCTGCGCGGCTGGGCGCTCGAGCTAATGGGCTTCGAGGGGCCCACAGGCCGGTCTGCAGGGCTGCGAGTGCAGCTGATCCGGCAGTGGGCAGTGTGGAAGTGGTGAAGGTGTCGAGCAGTTCGAGGCCTTGAGGTGCGCTCTGCGCCTGTGCCTGTCCACACCATGCGGCGGTGGAGGCTGCCTCAGCTGCCATGTCCGCCCTTCTGGCAGCCATATTCAATGGCATCGCCGGCAGCCGCGCTTCAGCCGGGCTTGAGAGGCCATGTGCAGCCACGGAACCGAGACAAGTGGTCACCCCGACGCCACAGTTAGCCCTCCCTGTGAGTGCCCAGGCACACGCGCTGCAGCGAACCTCCAGGGCTCCCCGGCGGGCTCGCGTGCCCAGCCGGGGTCGCTGGCAGCTGCGCGGCTGGGCACTCGAGCTAACGGGCTTCGAGGGGCCCACAGGCCGGTCTGCAGGGCTGCGGCGAATCAGGCGGCCGTCATGGCGTAGGCGGCGTCGAACTGCGTGATGAAGGTGATGAGAAGTGTGAGGGCTTGGGGGGCGCGGTGCGGCTGCCTCTCTCCAAACCATGCGGCAACGGAGGCCACTTCAGCCTCCACATCCGCCCTTCTGGCTGCCAGGTCGCCCCGCGCTCCCTCCGTGCTGGCCAGGAAGCCGTGCAGCCGCGCCCCAAATGCGTCCTCCCCCCCCCGGGCTGCGCTTGTGCCCGCCGCGCCCGGCCATCCCCCCCCCTCCTGGCCCCCCACCCAGGCCCTCCCACAGATGGCCGCGTACTCGGCCATGGCCTTCTTCAGGCCGACCGCGGCGTCCTCCTCCAGCTCTTGGAGGCCTCCGGAGAGGAGAGGGGCGGCCGCGGGGAGGCTGGGCGTCTGGCCACCCAAGAAGCCCCCTGCCCCTTGGTGGGCTGCCCCTGGCAGGCCCCTCACCACGCGTGCCAGGAAGTCCAAGAGTGTCCTGGCCTGGGTGCTGGCCTGGGGGGCGCCGGCGAGGGGCCCGCGTGCTGGCTGGGCAGGCGGGGAGGACGACGGCGCCGAGCTGCCTGTGACCTTGAAGCTTGTGAAGGCAGCCAGCGACTCCAGCGTGATGGCCCTGGCGCTGCCCTTGGGAGATCCATCGTTGACTGCATTGCCCACCTGGTTGGCAAAAGGCGAGCGTCCCGGGTCAGAGATGGCTGTGCGATTTGTAAGCGGACCTGCAAGTTGGTGTGTGAGCTGATTTGTGACCAAACTGACTTGTGTGCAAACAGAGTGCGGACACGTGGGCTGCCGTGAGTGTGTGGCTGGATCCGCGCGTCGTCTGACTCATGTGTGCTGCGCTTGGGAAGGCTAGAATATTCTGGAATCGCAACATTGCCCGCGCTGCAAGATCGCTTTCCAGCAGTTCGCGCAAGCGCATCTGGCGGAGCAGCCTCACAGAATGCTTCACTTGGCGCGGGAAGCAAGTTGGCATGTTGTTGATGCAAGCAATAGCTCGCCGGCAATGCTTGAAGCACAGCCACGCGTGCGTCTAGTTTCGTTAGAGACACGAATCGTGCGTGCCAGTGTCCACGTCGTCGGCAGCGGAGACCGCGGTGCTCGGTCAATCATGGCGACGGCAAGCCCGCCCGTGGGTCCTTGTGTGGTGGGCACTTGTTGGATTTCGCTCAGTCGTGCGATGCATTGGGAAGCTAGGTTGCTCAAGAGCTGCCAGCGGCCATGGGGCGCTGCGTGCAGTGCATCCCCGAAAAGAGACTACACAGATGAACAGGAGCCAACGAAGAGCTGAATTAATTAGTTAGTAGAATGGGTGGAGAAAGCAGGCATGGGGGCAGCTGCGCAGCCAAGCACAGGCGGGGCTAGAAAGTGTGGCTGCTGTGCCCCCGTCCAGGGTATCGCCTTGGATGAAATGGCGGCCGCGGTGTCCATGGGCGGGCAGGGGCAATGGCAGGTCTGTGAGCGGGTGGTGTTGCGCGAAAGGGGCACTCACGGTCAGGGCGCATGAGAGGACGCTCTGGAGGCGGGAGCTCCGACGAAGCTCCTGGCAGGCGGCCTGGACGGTGTCCAGCGCCTGCACGCTCTCGTTGCGGAGCTCCTCCCATTTCATGATGAACAGCGCCACGCGGCACTTGGCCTTCAACCTGGGCACTTGGTTCATCTGCAGCAGCACTCGCTCGGCCGCCGTCAGATCCTGCGGCGCGCCCCCAAAGTCCTTGAAGTCCTTTCTTTCCCCCTTCTTCGGGGCTATCTGCATCGCAGCGCAGCTCAGCGCTCAAATCGGAGGCCAAGCTAGTGGCCTTTGAGTGCATCGCGCCGGGTTGTTTCCCCAATATGTCCACCCTCCCAGGCAATGGCACCAACATCGACACTCCAGCCATGCCTCCGCGCACGCAGGAAAATGTTTATCAGCTGTCATCAATGGCAGGCGACCTGCGGTGATGAGCCTCCATGCGCATTCTATGTGAGTGTTCAAGTGGGCGTTGGTGGGCAAATTCAGTAGGCATGTCAGCGAGTGTATTAGTAACGTATTTTGGCATGTGCGTCAGTGAATATGTGCCCGTGGTGAATATGTTGTGCGTTGCAGCGCCTTGCAGCCCAGGGCACGGCGGTGAGGTGCGGCTGCGTTTCGCCGCCACCAAGGCAGAGGGCGGCGTGGCATCACTCGTGGAAGCTCGGACTGTGTTTGGAGAGCGGCTAGTGGAAGCCCTGCCCTCCAGTTCACCTGTCGAATGAGGCCCATTTCCTCCCACGTTAGCCCCTGGAAGCTGAGAACGGCGTGCATCATGCCCCCCACGCCCCCGGGGAAGGCTTTGAAGCGCGTCATCATGATGGACACGTTGTTGGCCCGCCTGATGTCAATCATAGTTGGGCGGCCCTCGGGGCCGCCAGCCACGGGGGCGGGCTTGGACTTGGAGGAGGACGCCCCAGCCCAGGCCGGGTTCCTGAAGAGGGACTCCAACATCTCGGCCATCTGGGGCACGAGGGCGGGGGCTGCGGGGAGGCTGCACCACACGGTGCCCGTGCGCCGGCTGAGCTTGCTCCAGTGGAACGTCCGAAGTTTGCGGACCTCAGCATCCTGCGGCACGTCATTGGTGGGGCGTCAACGGGTGCCGTGCGGGCGAGTGTGCGGGACTGGCGAGCCTCGCTCTGGTCGCGTGCAGGGTGCAGATTCGGGAGCCCAAATGAGCGCGATGGCGCACAAAAGGAGGGGCCATGAATCCACGCGCGGTGCCTCTTGCATGCAGCCGAGCGTCCCCCAACTGGGAGCCTGTCATGCGCTGTGGGGCTGGGTGTGCTTTTTCAACATAATGTGGAGCCTGGCTGTCCACGGCGCTGCCCATGGTCGTAATGCCAGCGCGCGCCGCGTGAACGCCCAATGGTGACTCGACCTGGCAATGCAGGCCGGACTTCCGAGCGATGGTTTGTGTGATGTAAGCTGTCAGAACATGCCGCTGTGGTGGTGATTGTGTCCAAATGGCAGCGAAAGCCGTGCCCTGCGTTCAGCTGCCCTGATTGTCGTGGTGGGTAATCGAAAGCTGCGCCCCTGGTCCGTTGCACCATGTATGAGGCAAATCCCGTGCACAATTGAGGCTGCGTGCTCGCGGCGCTGGCATCCAAATCGGCTGGCTGGCTGGCTGGCTGGCTGGCCCACCTCGCCTGGCTTCTCGGTTTTGGGGGGCGGTGGTGGCGGTGCGGGTGGTGCCGCGGGCGGTCCCCTGACGACGGCCTTCGCCCGTTGCTCTCCCTCCGCCTCCGACGTCGTGCCTGCGCTGCAGGGGGCCTCTTGCGCCTCTGGCGCCGCTGTCTCCTCGGACACCGCGTCCGCGGGAGGAGAGGCATCTACAACAAAGGCAAGGCGCGCTGCACTTGGAATCTGAGTGACGGCACAGACCTGTTGCGGCGGTCGGTGAGGTTGGTGTGTCGGGGCGCTGGAGTGCGGCGGGAGTTTTTTGACCATCTGACGCGTTGGGCAGCTCCCCTAGAGCGCACAGTCCGTCCGGGGACGTGGCAACGCAGCCACAGAAGAGCGGAACGGCGGCGGCCGTCGGCAAATCAGCAGCTACGCGTGTGATCCTGCCGACTCTCCCCTGGCAGCGTGTACGACTGCGGGCGTCTCCAAGCTTGAACGAGGACGAACGCTTTCTCATTCCGACAGATTGTTCCCGCCCAGTATTTGAGCTTGCACTTCGGAGCATTTCGATTTTTTTTCGACCCACTTCTCAACTCGGACAGACTTTGGGCAGCGGCATTTTGGCAGGGATGCCAGAGCGGCGGGAAAATGGGCACAGAATTCGGCTGACGTTCGGGGGCGCACCCTGCTGGCCTCCCCGTGCCCTCCTCCGCCGACCGAGGGCCCACCGCGCGGCGGAGCCCCCAACCACGGCCAGCAGGCCGAGTGCAATCCACAGGGGGTCGCCCCCCCCGCGCCTGTGGCGCCTCCCACTCTCGCCGTCGCCCATGCCTGCCCGCAGAGTAGAAAACAATTCAATAATTCTGGAAATGCGCCATGGGACAGTTGGCCCTGACGCCTGCGGCGGGATTGAGCCTCGCGCCCAGACGTCCGGGCTGGTGGGAGCGGCCGGAAGGGCGGCTGCGCCGACGTGCTGGAGGCCCCGGGAGAGCAATTCCCGGGAGTGGGCGGCCCCCCAAAAGCCGTCGGGAAATTCCTCCTCCTGGGAGGAGGGGGAGAGCGCCAGGGGCGACGGCCAGCGGCAACCGGCGCCGGCGCCCGAACTCGGCCACAAAAACGCGCGTGAGGGCGACCAAAAATTTTTGAGAGCGCCGGCCGCGTCTCCCCTACCGCCGCTGGGGCGCTCTTCGCCGCGGGCGTCCTCCTGCTCAGCTGCCGCTACAGAAACGCGTGCCTCTCCTCCGCAGCCGGCTGGCAGGCAGGCGCCGAATGCCGCCACTCCTCGCTCCGTCGCACGAGTGTGGATTCCTGGTCGTCGCCCCGAGGATGGCGAAGACGAGAGACGAGCGGCGGGCGGACGGAAGTGGGCGGGAGCTGGGCGCTGTGCGGAATGACGTCTCCCGCCACTGGGGCGGCGCTTATGAATATGCTTGCTTTTTTAATCCCAACCCACCCCTCCCCACGCCGCCGGTTTGGGGCTTCATTGTGAGCATTTGTGACGGGCCCAATTGCGCGCACGCCGTTGTGCCACAGCGGATGAACGTGGGCGCTGGAGGCGCCGCCCAGAGCCCCGTTGGGGTTGTCCACTGGCCGTCAGCGGCGGCTCACCGGCATGGTGCACGAAAGACCCGCCCACAGTGCCACCAGTGGGCGGTGCGCAGGAGCACAACTTTGTAGCTATGTATTTAGTCCATGCAGCGCAAGGAGCCGCGGCGGCAAATCAATACGCCGCTGATGCCACAACTTGTCGGAACTTGTGGTCCGAGAGACCTCTTTTCAGAGGCTGCTGCTGAAATTCCACCCAGCAATGGGGCGTCCGGAAAAATGGCCATTTCGTCAAGTTGGCTCGCACCAGCGGCGCATTCAAGCCTTGAAATGCTTCTCGGAAGGTGTCTGAAGGGCGTCTGCGCCCTCCTGAAACGCGGTGAGTGCTGTCCTTGGGCGCGGAAGGCGTGGCGTTGGAGGAGGTCTAGTAGAAGCCATGCTAAAGTAGGCAGAAGTGAAGCAATACTGCCCGGAGCTTGTCCAGGTCAGAGTGCGTGTGCCCGCCGTGTGTCACGAAGTGTGTGTCACGAAGCGGAGTGCGTTCCTCACTGTCCTGTCGCAAATTGTGCTGGCCTGGAAACGAGGAGCGGGCCTGCGTGCCGGCGCCGCATTTTGGACGTTTGAAAGCTGTAGGGGCATGAGGAGCTCCTGAATGAGCGTGCTGGGCGGTCGCTTTGCGTAGGTAGATGAGTTGCATTGCTGGCATGCCGCCCATTTTGCGTTGATTTGGAGTGTGCTGTAGACTGCGGGCACGCCCCCCGGTTGTCCGCCTCGGACGCGGTGGAGAGCCCACCACGGACACTCGCTTCGCCGCAGTGCTCCACAGCCCGCGCACCTCCCGCCCAGGCAGAGCCAGCCGGGAGTGAATGGTCCGTCGATCGGAGGTGAGTCCCCGCTCCCATCAGTGTTGCCCCTTGGATGCTGCCGTTTCGGGCCGGTGCCCGCCTGTACAAGGCCGCGTTGTGTGTGGCCACAACCCTGCCCTCGCACCGAGCCTCCCGTGGCGTGAACATGCAGCGATCCAGTGCCATTTGGTGTGAGCGCGGCCTTCCAGAGGGCGCTGCGAGCGCATTCCCCCTGCCATGCCCGGTGTTTGGCGCAGGCAGCGGGCAGCACGCGTGGTGTTTCTTGGGAACCCCGGCAGGCAGGCAGGCAGGCAGCGCAGTGCACCGCCGTGCAATGCGCTGCAATGCACTGCAATGCCGCCAAGCCATGCGGCACAGGACTACCCGTGGGTCGGCTCGCCCCACGCGGCGTTGGCGATGGGCATTGCTGTGCTTGACGCCAGGCGGCCGGATGCGCAAATGGCTGCTGCGGATTGCTGGCCCCCACAAAGTAATGGCCGCCAAAAGTCGCAAACTGCGCTGCGCAACTGTGCGTCTTGGGGGGGTGCACACGTTGCTTTCCTCGGAGTGGCGGGGCTTGGCTTGGCGCTCGAAGGGAAGACGAACGGACGTTGTGTGGATGCCGGCCGTCGCCGCGCGCAGGGTCCCTAAGGCCTGGTCGCGTGACGCAGGGCGCAGGCGGAAAGTGGGCCGGAAGTGGCGTACGGCGGGATACGCGACATCGTACCTCCATGGGCATACGGTGGCGCCGGCGCGCTCTTGGAATGGATGCCGCGCCCGCCACCCACGGGCCCCGTCGTGGCCTGCGGGCGTTTGGCAGCCACGCTTCCCCGGGGGAGTCCGCGCCGTGGAGCAACCGCGCTGGCACCTTCGAGGCGGGCCGCCGCCGCCGCCAAGTGTGCTGCGAGCATGGGCGCCCCGGGGACGCGAGGTTGTGGCGCGCCCGGCGGGCCAACGCCGCTTGTTTGGGGGCATGCCCCGGGGACTGCGGCTGGCCTGGGCGTTCCCCCGGCGCTGGCGAGCTTTGTGTGAGGGAGGTGAGGAGCGCTGCGCGCGGGCTTGGTGTCCCACGGCCCTGAGAAGGTGTCCCGTTGTGGATGGTGCCGCCAAGCTGAGGCATCGGCATCGCCGGGATCTGCGCGCCCCTTGCACCCGTCCACTGGGCGGAGCGAGGCCCTTGCGCCCCCCGCCGGGCACTTTACGCCTCGGCGGCATCTTCTGTCTGCGTGAACATGGAGGCAATGCCGGGGGCCAGCCTGCGAGCAGGGACAGACGGATGGCGTGTTTCGCGGGCGGCTGGCTGGGCTCCGGGCGGGCTGTGGCGACTTTCCGCGCGTTCCCCGCGCTTGCGGCGCGTCTAGGGCCGAGCTCATGCGGCGCTCGGTCTGCCCGGCGTGCTCCCACCCTGGCTTCCTGGCTTTGCCAAGTGCGAACGACCTGCCAAACGAGCTCTGGCAAGCGAACCAAGTGAAGCACGCGCTGCAGGAGGAGTTGATTTGTTGACGAGGACGGCTGGCCCCTGCCACTGCTGCTGACCAACAACCGTTTGGCTGCGCGAAAGGGCGCGCCTGCGCATCCAGCCTCCAACAACGGGAGTGTTCTTCCTCCCCCTCCGCTCCCAGGGGAGTGTCGTGTCACGTTTTGTTGGCCCCGCGCTCTTGCCCCGCAACCCTGTGCACAAGTGGCGCAACAGAACGGCACAGCCCCTTTCTGTGGCGCTGCAAGTGGACCTGTCCGTTGGTGGGAGCAGTGGATGGGTTGCAGTTGCACAGTGCCTGTCCAATTGCCTTGTGTGGTGGTGCGCTTTTGGCCTAGCAACTGGCTACATGACACTGACTGCGGAAGTGACCGCCTGTGGTTGGGTGCCTGTGGCAGTACATGCTGGCAAACCTCAACGAGCGCTGGCGGGATAGCCGGAACTCGGATGCCGCACCCTGAAGCCCTGCCAGGTGAGTGCGCACAAGTATTGATCTCGTTGCTACTGCCTGTAACTTGTGGTGCCCAGTCCGCTGGTGGCTGTGTGGGCGCTGTTGAGCATCGTGTTCAGAGCGTCGCATGCAAGCACGCGCAGGCCGGCAACGCATGGGCTTCCAGTTCGGGGGCCCTGTGCGGCGGGAGGTAATGCTGGGCCGGGGCCAGCTCCAATGAGAGCGTGTGGTAACTTGTTTGATGGAAAGCAGACTGCGTTTCTCTCTGCCAACGGCCGCGGTCAAGCGCCAGCGGGTGGCGAGGGTGCAGTGGAACGATCGTGGAGTCGCTGGCGGCCAGTAGCTCTTCTCTGGAAACGCCCACCCGCCAAGAGCAGGCAGCTCCTCCGTGCGCATGCGATGCAAAGTGGGACAGTGGCGCGGGAGCAGCAATGTTTGCCAGGGCCCCAAACAGGCCGTGGGCGTGGTTGCGATGCGCGAGCGATGATGGCATGATACACAGTGCAAGGGCCCTCAGGAGTGCGTGTTTAAAAACACGGAGGGCAGCCCCATCCCACAACAGAAAAGGTGTCCCCAGCGTCCCAGTGGTGTCCCAAGCCCTGCCTCAAAAGCATTCCACACGAGCGCCCGGCGCAGCAGGGTGCTGCTGCGCTTCATCCCGGCCGTGTGCAGCCGCAGAACCGAGTCAGGTGGTCACCCTGTCGCCACATTGAGCCCTCCCTGTGAGTGCCCAGGCACACGCGCTGCAGCGAACCTCCAGGGCTCCCCGGCGGGCTCGCGTGCCCAGCCGGGGTCGCTGGCAGCTGCGCGGCTGGGCGCTCGAGCTAATGGGCTTCGAGGGGCCCACAGGCCGGTCTGCAGGGCTGCGAGTGCAGCTGATCCGGCAGTGGGCAGTGTGGAAGTGGTGAAGGTGTCGAGCAGTTCGAGGCCTTGAGGTGCGCTCTGCGCCTGTGCCTGTCCACACCATGCGGCGGTGGAGGCTGCCTCAGCTGCCATGTCCGCCCTTCTGGCAGCCATATTCAATGGCATCGCCGGCAGCCGCGCTTCAGCCGGGCTTGAGAGGCCATGTGCAGCCACGGAACCGAGACAAGTGGTCACCCCGACGCCACAGTTAGCCCTCCCTGTGAGTGCCCAGGCACACGCGCTGCAGCGAACCTCCAGGGCTCCCCGGCGGGCTCGCGTGCCCAGCCGGGGTCGCTGGCAGCTGCGCGGCTGGGCACTCGAGCTAACGGGCTTCGAGGGGCCCACAGGCCGGTCTGCAGGGCTGCGGCGAATCAGGCGGCCGTCATGGCGTAGGCGGCGTCGAACTGCGTGATGAAGGTGATGAGAAGTGTGAGGGCTTGGGGGGCGCGGTGCGGCTGCCTCTCTCCAAACCATGCGGCAACGGAGGCCACTTCAGCCTCCACATCCGCCCTTCTGGCTGCCAGGTCGCCCCGCGCTCCCTCCGTGCTGGCCAGGAAGCCGTGCAGCCGCGCCCCAAATGCGTCCTCCCCCCCCCGGGCTGCGCTTGTGCCCGCCGCGCCCGGCCATCCCCCCCCCTCCTGGCCCCCCACCCAGGCCCTCCCACAGATGGCCGCGTACTCGGCCATGGCCTTCTTCAGGCCGACCGCGGCGTCCTCCTCCAGCTCTTGGAGGCCTCCGGAGAGGAGAGGGGCGGCCGCGGGGAGGCTGGGCGTCTGGCCACCCAAGAAGCCCCCTGCCCCTTGGTGGGCTGCCCCTGGCAGGCCCCTCACCACGCGTGCCAGGAAGTCCAAGAGTGTCCTGGCCTGGGTGCTGGCCTGGGGGGCGCCGGCGAGGGGCCCGCGTGCTGGCTGGGCAGGCGGGGAGGACGACGGCGCCGAGCTGCCTGTGACCTTGAAGCTTGTGAAGGCAGCCAGCGACTCCAGCGTGATGGCCCTGGCGCTGCCCTTGGGAGATCCATCGTTGACTGCATTGCCCACCTGGTTGGCAAAAGGCGAGCGTCCCGGGTCAGAGATGGCTGTGCGATTTGTAAGCGGACCTGCAAGTTGGTGTGTGAGCTGATTTGTGACCAAACTGACTTGTGTGCAAACAGAGTGCGGACACGTGGGCTGCCGTGAGTGTGTGGCTGGATCCGCGCGTCGTCTGACTCATGTGTGCTGCGCTTGGGAAGGCTAGAATATTCTGGAATCGCAACATTGCCCGCGCTGCAAGATCGCTTTCCAGCAGTTCGCGCAAGCGCATCTGGCGGAGCAGCCTCACAGAATGCTTCACTTGGCGCGGGAAGCAAGTTGGCATGTTGTTGATGCAAGCAATAGCTCGCCGGCAATGCTTGAAGCACAGCCACGCGTGCGTCTAGTTTCGTTAGAGACACGAATCGTGCGTGCCAGTGTCCACGTCGTCGGCAGCGGAGACCGCGGTGCTCGGTCAATCATGGCGACGGCAAGCCCGCCCGTGGGTCCTTGTGTGGTGGGCACTTGTTGGATTTCGCTCAGTCGTGCGATGCATTGGGAAGCTAGGTTGCTCAAGAGCTGCCAGCGGCCATGGGGCGCTGCGTGCAGTGCATCCCCGAAAAGAGACTACACAGATGAACAGGAGCCAACGAAGAGCTGAATTAATTAGTTAGTAGAATGGGTGGAGAAAGCAGGCATGGGGGCAGCTGCGCAGCCAAGCACAGGCGGGGCTAGAAAGTGTGGCTGCTGTGCCCCCGTCCAGGGTATCGCCTTGGATGAAATGGCGGCCGCGGTGTCCATGGGCGGGCAGGGGCAATGGCAGGTCTGTGAGCGGGTGGTGTTGCGCGAAAGGGGCACTCACGGTCAGGGCGCATGAGAGGACGCTCTGGAGGCGGGAGCTCCGACGAAGCTCCTGGCAGGCGGCCTGGACGGTGTCCAGCGCCTGCACGCTCTCGTTGCGGAGCTCCTCCCATTTCATGATGAACAGCGCCACGCGGCACTTGGCCTTCAACCTGGGCACTTGGTTCATCTGCAGCAGCACTCGCTCGGCCGCCGTCAGATCCTGCGGCGCGCCCCCAAAGTCCTTGAAGTCCTTTCTTTCCCCCTTCTTCGGGGCTATCTGCATCGCAGCGCGGCTCAGCGCTCAAATCGGAGGCCAAGCTAGTGGCCTTTGAGTGCATCGCGCCGGGTTGTTTCCCCAATATGTCCACCCTCCCAGGCAATGGCACCAACATCGACACTCCAGCCATGCCTCCGCGCACGCAGGAAAATGTTTATCAGCTGTCATCAATGGCAGGCGACCTGCGGTGATGAGCCTCCATGCGCATTCTATGTGAGTGTTCAAGTGGGCGTTGGTGGGCAAATTCAGTAGGCATGTCAGCGAGTGTATTAGTAACGTATTTTGGCATGTGCGTCAGTGAATATGTGCCCGTGGTGAATATGTTGTGCGTTGCAGCGCCTTGCAGCCAAGGGCACGGCGGTGAGGTGCGGCTGCGTTTCGCCGCCACCAAGGCAGAGGGCGGCGTGGCATCACTCGTGGAAGCTCGGACTGTGTTTGGAGAGCGGCTAGTGGAAGCCCTGCCCTCCAGTTCACCTGTCGAATGAGGCCCATTTCCTCCCACGTTAGCCCCTGGAAGCTGAGAACGGCGTGCATCATGCCCCCCACGCCCCCGGGGAAGGCTTTGAAGCGCGTCATCATGATGGACACGTTGTTGGCCCGCCTGATGTCAATCATAGTTGGGCGGCCCTCGGGGCCGCCAGCCACGGGGGCGGGCTTGGACTTGGAGGAGGACGCCCCAGCCCAGGCCGGGTTCCTGAAGAGGGACTCCAACATCTCGGCCATCTGGGGCACGAGGGCGGGGGCTGCGGGGAGGCTGCACCACACGGTGCCCGTGCGCCGGCTGAGCTTGCTCCAGTGGAACGTCCGAAGTTTGCGGACCTCAGCATCCTGCGGCACGTCATTGGTGGGGCGTCAACGGGTGCCGTGCGGGCGAGTGTGCGGGACTGGCGAGCCTCGCTCTGGTCGCGTGCAGGGTGCAGATTCGGGAGCCCAAATGAGCGCGATGGCGCACAAAAGGAGGGGCCATGAATCCACGCGCGGTGCCTCTTGCATGCAGCCGAGCGTCCCCCAACTGGGAGCCTGTCATGCGCTGTGGGGCTGGGTGTGCTTTTTCAACATAATGTGGAGCCTGGCTGTCCACGGCGCTGCCCATGGTCGTAATGCCAGCGCGCGCCGCGTGAACGCCCAATGGTGACTCGACCTGGCAATGCAGGCCGGACTTCCGAGCGATGGTTTGTGTGATGTAAGCTGTCAGAACATGCCGCTGTGGTGGTGATTGTGTCCAAATGGCAGCGAAAGCCGTGCCCTGCGTTCAGCTGCCCTGATTGTCGTGGTGGGTAATCGAAAGCTGCGCCCCTGGTCCGTTGCACCATGTATGAGGCAAATCCCGTGCACAATTGAGGCTGCGTGCTCGCGGCGCTGGCATCCAAATCGGCTGGCTGGCTGGCTGGCTGGCCCACCTCGCCTGGCTTCTCGGTTTTGGGGGGCGGTGGTGGCGGTGCGGGTGGTGCCGCGGGCGGTCCCCTGACGACGGCCTTCGCCCGTTGCTCTCCCTCCGCCTCCGACGTCGTGCCTGCGCTGCAGGGGGCCTCTTGCGCCTCTGGCGCCGCTGTCTCCTCGGACACCGCGTCCGCGGGAGGAGAGGCATCTACAACAAAGGCAAGGCGCGCTGCACTTGGAATCTGAGTGACGGCACAGACCTGTTGCGGCGGTCGGTGAGGTTGGTGTGTCGGGGCGCTGGAGTGCGGCGGGAGTTTTTTGACCATCTGACGCGTTGGGCAGCTCCCCTAGAGCGCACAGTCCGTCCGGGGACGTGGCAACGCAGCCACAGAAGAGCGGAACGGCGGCGGCCGTCGGCAAATCAGCAGCTACGCGTGTGATCCTGCCGACTCTCCCCTGGCAGCGTGTACGACTGCGGGCGTCTCCAAGCTTGAACGAGGACGAACGCTTTCTCATTCCGACAGATTGTTCCCGCCCAGTATTTGAGCTTGCACTTCGGAGCATTTCGATTTTTTTTCGACCCACTTCTCAACTCGGACAGACTTTGGGCAGCGGCATTTTGGCAGGGATGCCAGAGCGGCGGGAAAATGGGCACAGAATTCGGCTGACGTTCGGGGGCGCACCCTGCTGGCCTCCCCGTGCCCTCCTCCGCCGACCGAGGGCCCACCGCGCGGCGGAGCCCCCAACCACGGCCAGCAGGCCGAGTGCAATCCACAGGGGGTCGCCCCCCCCGCGCCTGTGGCGCCTCCCACTCTCGCCGTCGCCCATGCCTGCCCGCAGAGTAGAAAACAATTCAATAATTCTGGAAATGCGCCATGGGACAGTTGGCCCTGACGCCTGCGGCGGGATTGAGCCTCGCGCCCAGACGTCCGGGCTGGTGGGAGCGGCCGGAAGGGCGGCTGCGCCGACGTGCTGGAGGCCCCGGGAGAGCAATTCCCGGGAGTGGGCGGCCCCCCAAAAGCCGTCGGGAAATTCCTCCTCCTGGGAGGAGGGGGAGAGCGCCAGGGGCGACGGCCAGCGGCAACCGGCGCCGGCGCCCGAACTCGGCCACAAAAACGCGCGTGAGGGCGACCAAAAATTTTTGAGAGCGCCGGCCGCGTCTCCCCTACCGCCGCTGGGGCGCTCTTCGCCGCGGGCGTCCTCCTGCTCAGCTGCCGCTACAGAAACGCGTGCCTCTCCTCCGCAGCCGGCTGGCAGGCAGGCGCCGAATGCCGCCACTCCTCGCTCCGTCGCACGAGTGTGGATTCCTGGTCGTCGCCCCGAGGATGGCGAAGACGAGAGACGAGCGGCGGGCGGACGGAAGTGGGCGGGAGCTGGGCGCTGTGCGGAATGACGTCTCCCGCCACTGGGGCGGCGCTTATGAATATGCTTGCTTTTTTAATCCCAACCCACCCCTCCCCACGCCGCCGGTTTGGGGCTTCATTGTGAGCATTTGTGACGGGCCCAATTGCGCGCACGCCGTTGTGCCACAGCGGATGAACGTGGGCGCTGGAGGCGCCGCCCAGAGCCCCGTTGGGGTTGTCCACTGGCCGTCAGCGGCGGCTCACCGGCATGGTGCACGAAAGACCCGCCCACAGTGCCACCAGTGGGCGGTGCGCAGGAGCACAACTTTGTAGCTATGTATTTAGTCCATGCAGCGCAAGGAGCCGCGGCGGCAAATCAATACGCCGCTGATGCCACAACTTGTCGGAACTTGTGGTCCGAGAGACCTCTTTTCAGAGGCTGCTGCTGAAATTCCACCCAGCAATGGGGCGTCCGGAAAAATGGCCATTTCGTCAAGTTGGCTCGCACCAGCGGCGCATTCAAGCCTTGAAATGCTTCTCGGAAGGTGTCTGAAGGGCGTCTGCGCCCTCCTGAAACGCGGTGAGTGCTGTCCTTGGGCGCGGAAGGCGTGGCGTTGGAGGAGGTCTAGTAGAAGCCATGCTAAAGTAGGCAGAAGTGAAGCAATACTGCCCGGAGCTTGTCCAGGTCAGAGTGCGTGTGCCCGCCGTGTGTCACGAAGTGTGTGTCACGAAGCGGAGTGCGTTCCTCACTGTCCTGTCGCAAATTGTGCTGGCCTGGAAACGAGGAGCGGGCCTGCGTGCCGGCGCCGCATTTTGGACGTTTGACAGCTGTAGGGGCATGAGGAGCTCCTGAATGAGCGTGCTGGGCGGTCGCTTTGCGTAGGTAGATGAGTTGCATTGCTGGCATGCCGCCCATTTTGCGTTGATTTGGAGTGTGCTGTAGACTGCGGGCACGCCCCCCGGTTGTCCGCCTCGGACGCGGTGGAGAGCCCACCACGGACACTCGCTTCGCCGCAGTGCTCCACAGCCCGCGCACCTCCCGCCCAGGCAGAGCCAGCCGGGAGTGAATGGTCCGTCGATCGGAGGTGAGTCCCCGCTCCCATCAGTGTTGCCCCTTGGATGCTGCCGTTTCGGGCCGGTGCCCGCCTGTACAAGGCCGCGTTGTGTGTGGCCACAACCCTGCCCTCGCACCGAGCCTCCCGTGGCGTGAACATGCAGCGATCCAGTGCCATTTGGTGTGAGCGCGGCCTTCCAGAGGGCGCTGCGAGCGCATTCCCCCTGCCATGCCCGGTGTTTGGCGCAGGCAGCGGGCAGCACGCGTGGTGTTTCTTGGGAACCCCGGCAGGCAGGCAGGCAGGCAGCGCAGTGCACCGCCGTGCAATGCGCTGCAATGCACTGCAATGCCGCCAAGCCATGCGGCACAGGACTACCCGTGGGTCGGCTCGCCCCACGCGGCGTTGGCGATGGGCATTGCTGTGCTTGACGCCAGGCGGCCGGATGCGCAAATGGCTGCTGCGGATTGCTGGCCCCCACAAAGTAATGGCCGCCAAAAGTCGCAAACTGCGCTGCGCAACTGTGCGTCTTGGGGGGGTGCACACGTTGCTTTCCTCGGAGTGGCGGGGCTTGGCTTGGCGCTCGAAGGGAAGACGAACGGACGTTGTGTGGATGCCGGCCGTCGCCGCGCGCAGGGTCCCTAAGGCCTGGTCGCGTGACGCAGGGCGCAGGCGGAAAGTGGGCCGGAAGTGGCGTACGGCGGGATACGCGACATCGTACCTCCATGGGCATACGGTGGCGCCGGCGCGCTCTTGGAATGGATGCCGCGCCCGCCACCCACGGGCCCCGTCGTGGCCTGCGGGCGTTTGGCAGCCACGCTTCCCCGGGGGAGTCCGCGCCGTGGAGCAACCGCGCTGGCACCTTCGAGGCGGGCCGCCGCCGCCGCCAAGTGTGCTGCGAGCATGGGCGCCCCGGGGACGCGAGGTTGTGGCGCGCCCGGCGGGCCAACGCCGCTTGTTTGGGGGGATGCCCCGGGGACTGCGGCTGGCCTGGGCGTTCCCCCGGCGCTGGCGAGCTTTGTGTGAGGGAGGTGAGGAGCGCTGCGCGCGGGCTTGGTGTCCCACGGCCCTGAGAAGGTGTCCCGTTGTGGATGGTGCCGCCAAGCTGAGGCATCGGCATCGCCGGGATCTGCGCGCCCCTTGCACCCGTCCACTGGGCGGAGCGAGGCCCTTGCGCCCCCCGCCGGGCACTTTACGCCTCGGCGGCATCTTCTGTCTGCGTGAACATGGAGGCAATGCCGGGGGCCAGCCTGCGAGCAGGGACAGACGGATGGCGTGTTTCGCGGGCGGCTGGCTGGGCTCCGGGCGGGCTGTGGCGACTTTCCGCGCGTTCCCCGCGCTTGCGGCGCGTCTAGGGCCGAGCTCATGCGGCGCTCGGTCTGCCCGGCGTGCTCCCACCCTGGCTTCCTGGCTTTGCCAAGTGCGAACGACCTGCCAAACGAGCTCTGGCAAGCGAACCAAGTGAAGCACGCGCTGCAGGAGGAGTTGATTTGTTGACGAGGACGGCTGGCCCCTGCCACTGCTGCTGACCAACAACCGTTTGGCTGCGCGAAAGGGCGCGCCTGCGCATCCAGCCTCCAACAACGGGAGTGTTCTTCCTCCCCCTCCGCTCCCAGGGGAGTGTCGTGTCACGTTTTGTTGGCCCCGCGCTCTTGCCCCGCAACCCTGTGCACAAGTGGCGCAACAGAACGGCACAGCCCCTTTCTGTGGCGCTGCAAGTGGACCTGTCCGTTGGTGGGAGCAGTGGATGGGTTGCAGTTGCACAGTGCCTGTCCAATTGCCTTGTGTGGTGGTGCGCTTTTGGCCTAGCAACTGGCTACATGACACTGACTGCGGAAGTGACCGCCTGTGGTTGGGTGCCTGTGGCAGTACATGCTGGCAAACCTCAACGAGCGCTGGCGGGATAGCCGGAACTCGGATGCCGCACCCTGAAGCCCTGCCAGGTGAGTGCGCACAAGTATTGATCTCGTTGCTACTGCCTGTAACTTGTGGTGCCCAGTCCGCTGGTGGCTGTGTGGGCGCTGTTGAGCATCGTGTTCAGAGCGTCGCATGCAAGCACGCGCAGGCCGGCAACGCATGGGCTTCCAGTTCGGGGGCCCTGTGCGGCGGGAGGTAATGCTGGGCCGGGGCCAGCTCCAATGAGAGCGTGTGGTAACTTGTTTGATGGAAAGCAGACTGCGTTTCTCTCTGCCAACGGCCGCGGTCAAGCGCCAGCGGGTGGCGAGGGTGTAGTGGAACGATCGTGGAGTCGCTGGCGGCCAGTAGCTCTTCTCTGGAAACGCCCACCCGCCAAGAGCAGGCAGCTCCTCCGTGCGCATGCGATGCAAAGTGGGACAGTGGCGCGGGAGCAGCAATGTTTG